TTTCTACAGGTATGCAACCTTGCCTTGTGGTATGGGGCCCTAACCTTAGATGCTGTTGGCATTGGTGTGGTGCAGGCCCTTACTATAACAGACACTTTTTTATGTTGTGAAAGCTAGCCAAGACACTTAAAGTCCATGGCACATTTCACTTAAGTTTCATTTCCAGGTCCTTTGTAACTGCTTCCTTAACATTATTTTATAGTTTCCTTGCAATGATTTATATTTTCTACCATGTTCTGGCACTCATGAAGTTTTTTAAGAGGGTAAATATTATTAGTGTAAATGCTCTGTGTATATGGCAATTTTAATCCTGTTTGGTTTCTTCTTTTCGTTTACTAGTTCAGTAATTACTGTGTTATTAACCACTTACTGTGAAATCATGCACTGCAGAGAAAGGCTTGTTAAGTGGAGTCTTTTCCCTGATCAAGTTCCTTATGACTCTAGAGAATACTTTTACTGAGACTAATGGGTAGTTTAAGAACTTTTTGTTCTCTTACCAGTGCTTACAAGGAAAATCTGGAAGTTATATGCTCAGCATACCAGCAGCAAACTGCTCACCAGAGCAGCTGCACCTTGACTTTAACTGGGACTCCTTCAAAAATTAGCGTAGCTTGCAAACTAGACTGAGCCACAGAAGGCATCTTTAAATTCAGCCACTCTTTGCTTCACCCTCAAATTAGTGACTTAACGAAACATCTAAATTATTTCAATATTATTTTAAAGTACCCTATGTCCTTTGCTGGAACTGTGTCATGGGCAGTTTACAGGCTGGAATAAGTAAGAGCAGAGTGAAAGACTCCACCCAAACTGATTTTTTTTTTAAACTGTCTTTCAGATATAGATGCCAAAATAACTGAAAAACGTTTTTTTTTAAAAATGGTTAAGTGTAACATCTTTTGCTCTCTTTGTTCGCATGACCCTCTGTTAATCTGTTTTGTTTTTTTTAAGCATATAGCAAAACTACTGGACAAAATTGAATGCTAGCTGAGGTAGACATACAGCCACATCCATTGCTGTGGAGCGGAGCAGACCAAAAGCCACTTCAGTGTCCAAAGCTTTCCCTACGGGTTGCAGAGAATCCCTTATAGTTTCTAGTAAATGAAGAAGTCCATAAAAATGTGATTTAAGCTGTGACCTTTTTTGGGTAGGTGAAGTGATGTCATTTAATCTTTTTTGTGTGTGGAATCCAGTCCACATAAATGAACACAAGTTCAGAATGTCTGAAGAACTAGGAATAAAGTATAAAAATGAAGGCAGCAAACTGACGTCAATCCTCATAAATATGTTTTACAACTACAAAATGACAACTATGAAAATCTATCAAAATATTGGACCCTTTTTCTTGTATATATTCTTGGAGGGAATGCTGCTACACATTTAATTCTGTTTAGAGTAGAAAAGGTCTGGACTATGTTTTTCTTGAAATAGGCCCATAGTAATATTTCTTCTCTCTCCAAAATGCTTATATCATTCACAAGTGCCTGGCAGAAACCAACACTTTATAAATGTGGATGATCACTTAATAATACTGAAGGATTTTATTTAACACATTTTAAAAATAGTCATGTAATCAACACAAAACTTGATGGCTGTGATTTTTTTAATGAAAACTTTAAGTAAGACACAGATCATCTTTGTTCCATACATCACTCAAAATATAAACCTTTTTAAGATAGTGGTGAAGCACAGACCCAACTTTTTTTTTTTTTTTAACTGAAAATTAGACCTGGACAGCTCTGTGCCAAAAGAAAAATTGCAGAAACTGAAATATGGTCACTATGAAGCTCTGTATCTATTGCACCTAGGGTGACCAGACAGCAAGTGTGAAAAATTGGGACGGGGGTGGGGGTAATAGGCGCTTATATAAGACAAAGCCCCAAATATCGGGACATCTGGTCACCCTAATTGCACCTCTGTGAATTATAACTCATGCATGCAATCTGCAAACTTATGCCTGCATCTTATTAGTGAGGAATTTTGCAGTTTATGGGAGTCTTGGCATTTAAAAAAAAAATCACTGAACATTTTATATCCCTTTAATAGGAACTTAAGTTTGCAAATTAACTCGGACATTTGAGCAACTTTGAAGCTACGCTTGACTTGATCTTGCACGGTGCCGATGTGGAGAGTTGTGCACATAAGCACAAGGTACAAAGGAAGGAGCAGGACAGTGATCATCAAAAATCCTGGCCTGCATAAGAGCTGATACATGGCTGCCAAGCTACTGGTGACTAGTAGTTGAAATAAGACCTATGGGGAAAAATACATACAGTAGCTAAGCTACTCATTAACATGATGAAAATCATGCTTAGACCATGTCTCCTCAGACGTTCTCCTCTTGTACCGTGGACACTAGCAATTAAGAGAGTGGGTGCAACAAGACTTGGGATTTCTACTGATCAGTGTGAAGGACTACTGGTGGCTCCTTAATCTTACTTGTGCCTGGCATTTGTGCTGTAGTAAAACACCCTTATATATCCTGCTGTGTACTATGTAAGGACTTGCAGGATCAGGATTGGGATGAACAGTGGTGGAGGAATTCAATATTTCTGTGTCTGTTTATTGACTTTGGCTGTAAGCCATGGTAATGAGGAGCCCGCAAAAGGCCTGGGATGAAATGTGGAAGGGGACGGAAGGTGAGGAAGGACAAAGTAAATAAGAATGAGACAGGAACACAGACTGCTCTTGGACATGCAGCTCTGATTGAAGCTCATGAGAGGTGAATATGAGCTCTTAAGGCACAATATGGCCTATACGTTTTGTGAGTGTTCAATAATGCCTGAAGTACTTCAGAAAATGAAGCAACACATTTATTAATAATTGATATATAACTTTATTATGCACAGACTAAGATGACATGACACTGTGGTTATCAAAACTGTACAACTAAGCATTTCCCCAAGTCTTCTGAAATACTGAACACAGAACTAAATACCAATGGGGTGTTCGGACTGGCCAGAGGGATTAATGGATTCATTTCTCCCATTGATTTTTAAAAAATACATCTGTGATGAAATTTTGCTAATTAAGAACTGATTAAAAAAAATCAAAGTACTGTGTTTGGAACCAGTTGAAAACATGATAGCTAATACCAATTAATTTCATGAACACCCCATGTCTGACTGACAAAAACAGAGCACAACAGTTACCTCACAGAAAGTGCTGTCAGCATAACCAGCAGTACAAGTCTTCTTGTGAAGGATGAGGTAGATACACATTACAGAAAAGACTGGTATATACATTACAGAAAACAATTAGAAGAGGAACAAAAAGAATTTACAATCATCTCTAGAGACATTATGCAAAACCCTCTTCCATCTGGTAAATGCAATGGAAAAGCCCAGTTCAGAATGTTTTGACTTCTTAAAACGATAATGAACAGCTGCCCAACACCAAATATTTTTAAAGGTTAAAGCTAGTGATTAGACAATATATGAACACAATAAGCAGTCTGCCTTGGAGTTTAAGTATTTCACTAATGGCTTTTATCGTCAGAAGCTGTCTTTTTAAAAGCCCAATTCTGCCATCCTTCCACCAGATACCCCACTGGACTCAATAAGATGACTTGTGAAATTCACCTTGGCAGAGAAGGCCAGCACCAATTAAGTCTCATGAGCCCCATTTTGAGTAACTAGATGGGATGTAAATGGCACATAGGCCTTGTGCTGCTCCTCTGAACAAGATAAATATCTCATTTGAGTAATGATGGCAGGATCAGGCCTCTTGATAGACTCAAGAAACTGTGGCTTTGCAGTGAAACATTCAATGATATACAACACGATATAACTTTAAAGAAACTTGCAGTAAATATAAATGGCTGTTTTATAAAGAAGAGTTTACATTTGTAGCAGTATTCTGAATTGCAGTAGTCAATGACTGCTGCAAGGTATGGTACATTCTTCTAATAAAGCTATTAATTGGGAAATGCCCTTGTTTTACTTCTCTTGCCTACAGAAGTGACTGTTCAATCCTATAAGAAACTACACTTGCATTTGATGACATACATTATCCAATTAACATATTGGTAATTTTCCATTAACTCCGTTTGAAATACTCTTAACTCTAAACAGCTAAGTACATCAAGATGAGCCTATTAATTTAAATTGTATCCTGGATATAAGGCTAAAAAGTCAATTTTGTTTTTATGCATTGTATTTTTTGGTTTGTCAGTTTGGAAATATAAATCTGTAAGTTTTAAAATTAGAGTAAATTATTGATAAAAATCATTGATAATGCAGCATGTTTCTCTCAACAATATACAATTAGCTATCTTACACAAAGGGTTTTTAACCTGTCCATCACAACAGAATTTTCTAAGACTTCCTATGAGACTCTACTTTTTTTAATCTGAGAAGGAAAGGGTTAAAATGGTAATAAGAATTTACAAAAAATGTAAAATTCACAGTAACTGAAATTAAACATATATAGAGTAATTTAAATTTATCTAAAACACTTAAATATATCTTTATACACAAATTTAATGTAGTAAAATATAGCTATGATTGACTTAAAGACTTTTGTCTTCTTTGAAGACATCTTTAAAGATTTTATACATAGAATATGCTTACACAATACATTCTGCTGAAGGTTAGGCAAAGCGCATTATTTTCAAAGACACAGGTAGCATATTTGTTCTCCCCACACGAAGGACTCAATCCTGCAAACACTTATATACATGAGTCATTCTGTTGAACTCAATGGAATTATTCATTGGTCTGATCTTGCAAAGGGTTTCACGTGTGCTTAACTTTACTCACTGTGAGCAGTCCCCATTGACACAGACTGATCACAGGGCATAAAGTTAAGTACATGGATAAGCCTTTGCAACATCAGGGTTGGTCTGTAAGTTTACCCATGTGCATAAACATTTGCAGGATCAGAGACAAATGTGTTTAAAAAATTAAGGGAAAAATTCTGCTATCTGATCCTGAGTACGTATCTCTATTGCACATTTTGATCTCATTATACAGGCTGAATATCCATTGACAACATGAGTTGTATACATGGCGTAAGTGTAGAGTTAGCAATAGAAATATTGAGTTCAGACTTAGGAGAATATCGCCCTAATATAAAGAATCCTATTCTCCTGCTGTAGAATACAAGCAGCCTCTACTAAAGTCATTCATATCCTGTGACAAGAGAATAGCGTTCACGTTAAAAAACAACAACCCAAAACAAACCAAAAACAGAGGAATCAGAGCATATTACAGTTGCAAAGTGACACCATAATATTCAAAGTAGTTCACATCTAATTTTTCCCTCCATTTGGGATTTATTGTAAGGTCAGGGTATGGCAAAAGCACTAAAATAATACTATGAAAATTAGTGCCTTATTGCCCATCTCACATTCTAACATTACTTTGGGAATATCCAACTGCGAAGTTCATATGACTAACTAGTAGTTTGACACAAACCGCTGTGGACTGTTATCTTAAAAGAACAGTTTAATTTTTATACGCAGTGTTTTATACAGATAGGCTCGGTTGTATATCCGTTGTGCACTCAAAATCACAGTGATGTCAACTGGAATTCAGGGCACACAAAGAATGTAGGACTGAGCCAAGTATATTTCAATATACTTTTTTTCTATATTAATTTCAAAATATGCATATAAACTAAAGAGCCAATTATAAATATCTAACATCCTCCTCATGAGTAGAGTGGGATATTAAGATCATTTTCCCTGTCTAAAAAATAGACATGCTAGATTAAGTAAAATGGTGTATACTGTGGTATACACATTTGCATAAAGATATTTCATTAAGTATACACACATTAACATTAGTGCATATTATCTTTCTTTAATCTTTGTGTGTATAGTGGGTAAAAACCCCTAACTGAAGATAGTTTTGGCCCAGTGAACAAGAAAGGGAATGTTGCTTTAGTGAGCATTATAATTACCAAAGGCAAACACATGTTAAACACCTGAAACTGTACACAAAACAAGAAAGCAGGTAAGATGCTATAGCAGTCAAGCTCAAGAAAACAAGGCGTTATTTTGAAGTGGTTAAATATAGCTGAAGTAATAAAATGGTTTTTAACCAAGTAGATCTGAGCTTGAGACTTTCTTCTTCTGATGTGTAGGAATCCTTTGACCTAAGATCTCCTTTATTCTACTTATCTTGTTGAAATCCCTTTACGAACACCTTATCAGTGAAAAGGTTTAGGAACCAAAAATTATTTTGTATAGACAAAGCAGCATTTTTCAAACTGGCATGTATTTCGCACTGAGAGCCCACACACCCTTTTAACAGGTTGCAGTACTGTAGAATTAATAGCTTTGTCTCATGTAGCATAACATGCTGTAGAAAGGTCCAAAGACTGTATTTATCCAAAAGATCCGGTGATTTTTTTTTCTACAGTGAAATCCCTCCTTTCTCAAAAGAAACCAAATTAATCCTTCCAACTTTAGACAGCTAATGTCAACAAACTGTCTCTTTGAACCTCTGCCCTCCTATGATGCTCCTTGGACTTATTTCCCCTTGGGTTAGGCTGTACTGCTGCTAGAACAGGGGGTGCTTTGTGTGCTGCCGATACTGTGTGCGGCACTGCTGTTTTCAGAGGCTGGTGGGTATGTGGGGACCTGCTGTCTTCCTGCTGTTTCCCCTGGGGGAAAAAAAAAAAAAAGGAAACTGAAAATGTTATATGCTACAGCAAAAATATTTCTACCACCTTCCAATGTTCTTGTCATTTTTATTTCCATAAAAACTGTGCACTGGATATACATTTCAAATGGAAACATTTGTTAAAAATGTTACTTGATTTTGACACCTCTGGATAGTATTTACATGGAAAAAATCTTTTCTAGCTGCTTTCTTAATTGTATAAAAAGCAGCTGACAGTGAGCTCAGCTATGGATGCTGTGTGTATCCTACGGTCAGCTGTTTATCAACTGAGGTTCAGTCACCATACTCCTGGGGGAATTCTGTGCAATGGGGGGGAAGGGTGCGGGTGTCTGGGCGAGGGGGCCCTGTGGCTGGGCTCTGGAGGGGGGTGTGGGAATCTGGGCTGGGGGTCCCTGTGGCTGGGCTCGGGGGTTCAGGTGTATTGGCTGGGGGGCCCCCGTGGCTGGGCTATAGGGGAGGGGTTGTGGGTATCTGGCCTCCCATCTGGGGGGCAGGGGAGAAGGGGGCAGAGAAACAGGAACTGGTTTGTCATAGAGGTTTCTTTAACTCTCTACTCCTGGGGGAATTTTTGTGTGTGTCTGTCTTGTTACAGACATACTTGTTGACAGGTCTTTTCAAATAAATTACCAAAATAATTGAAGGTGGCGTGATTATGTGGCGCTGTTTTGACAAATAAAATTTGCAGAATTTTAAAATATTATGCACAGAATTTTTAATTTTTTTGGCGCAGAATGCCCCCAGGAGTATCCCATAACTCAGATCAGGATCAGACCCTAGATTTTTTGTGGGCTTTTCTGTTTGATGGAAAACAGCTAGAAAAGTGTAGAATGTTTTGTCTTAATGCCAACACATGGAGCAGTGCATTTACTAAAACTAATGAGTTGGATCTGAAAGCACTCTCCTCCCCCTCCTCAGTCACAGGAGGATGGCACGTATTGTGAGACAGACGACCATTTGTTTTCAGAGTAGGAAAACGGCCTATCCTGTAATGCTGAGTTGATTTGCATATCCCACTCTAAATGTAATGTAGCAGGGTTACAGCAAGCTTCCACATAGCTACGACAGTATGAGCAGTAGTTACAGCACAGTATAAGGTACAATATTCTTGCAATTTCATGCTCAGAGTGTAAGTACACACACACACTACTGTTAAAAGAATGTTATTTGGATTACAAAGTCAAGCACTAAAAAGTTAGAAAATGCCTGATTTTATTGATGCCTGTGCAATATTAATACTTCCCTTTTCTTGTCCATTTTGTGCACTGAATGAGGCAGAGGTCCTGTGGGGGGAAAAATAGTATGATTGTGTAATTAAAGATAGTATCACAATGCATATGGGGGAGAGGGGGATTAAGGTTGCACAGGCAACCATAAATCTGGCATTGCCTAACTTTGAAGTGCTTAACTTTGTAACCTTAATGTTCTTTTAATGTAGTCCTGTGGTTTCCTAATGTTTTTTAAAGAAAAAGGTTACAAGTTTTATTATTTGGATCTGTAGCCCTCTTCCCAATCATCAGTAGTGTTAGAACCCTGAGTCTTCAGCATTACAGCACAGCCCCTCCCTCCAGCCGCCCGCCTGCCCCCCCCCCACGGGGCTGGCCCCAGCCGGCTCCCCGCTAGAGGCTGTCGCTGGTTGCTCAAACCATGACCCCCCACATCCACATCGTTCCTCCACACCGCACCACTTTTTTGACAAGTGGGCATTTGTCCCGTTTGCTCTTGCCAACTGATCCAACTTTTGCCAAGAAAGTTGGGATGGACAAGACAGAGCTTAAAATGGGACTGACTGTCCTGGCCAAAATGGGGCGTATGGTCACCTTAGGCCTAGCAGCAAGAGGGGAGACAGGATTGCTGATTCTGGAGAGTGTTCGGGGAAGCCCAGGCCAGCCACAGCTGGGATAGCTACTGTCCCATGAATTGCCCCCAGATGGGTGACTGACCCCTGGTACCATGTGCTGGGTCCATAGGGGCAGTTGAGGGGACGCCGACCTGTGTCTCTCCCTCCCTCCCCCACTCCTTCCCTGCCCAGGAGTTGTGAGAGCTCCTGCCACACGTGGTGCCCCCAGTGGTAAATGGGCTACGGGGGGGCCATGTGCTGGATCCTGGGATTTACAGGGGTGGAGCAGACTGGCTCACACTCCTCCTCGTCCCCGAAAAGCTGCTCTGGCAGCTCCCTGTTGTTCCCACTGCAGTGTGTGCTGCTGCGGCGGCAACATGAGCCCAGTCTTGGAATGGTTCAGAAATTTTGGCAGGTTGCCACAATTTTCCGGAGGAACCCCAGTGACAGAAAGGAAATGGTGATTTTTAACACTTTGTAGCTCACCCCATTTTTTTTATTTAAAAACTTTATATTTTATGTAAAAACAATACAAATAAACACTTAACAAAACACATATAAACAACATTAAATGTCACTATTTGTAAAACCTGGAAAAAACAAAAACCAAAAAAACCTCTGACCCCATAGAGGTCAGGCAGGGCATCAAAGCTCACCCATATCTGAATGGAATATCATGGGCGAATGAAGAGGCACTTCTGCAGCACAAGGGGATTCCCACCTACTAAATATCAAAGCCCTGCTGCAAACAATGGAGGTACGAGAGCTTGTCAAGAGAAGAGGTCACAAGAATCCTTCACAATGAAAAGTGCGAGGCAACCTAAATATAGGGGTTGCTACCAGCTCATCCTACAATCACTGCCGTATGCCTAACTAGTAATACCTACTATCTAAAGAGTGCACAGCTTTTGCCTTGCACCCCACTATTTTCAAAAATAGGAAGAAAACTCCCCACAAACACTCTTCCTCAATTAAGTCAATGGCACTGCATTGCTTTAACAGAGGTCAGAATTTTGCCCATGGATTCAACACTAAATAAGACATTTAATGTTGTGAGGCAGTTTCTGATCTGTACAAATCCAAAGTAATTCCACAAATTATAGACTTCTTTTATGTGTAACTGAATCTAGCACAGCATTTCTTAAATAAAATGTTTCATTCCTATCTTTTCATTAGAAACAGCTCTGTATATAAACAAAGTAAACTATAGCAAGTAGTTTCTTGTTGTGTTATCTTATTATAAGCTTTTCATAAACCTCGTTTGGGCATTTTCTCCTTCATTATAAAATGTTCCTCTATCCATTAGTTGTTTTGGGTATAAGCCTCCCTTCCTGTCATGTTAAAGGACATATCTATAAGTCAGTGATAAGCAAACTCCCTTTCATAAAAATAAAAATAAAAAAAAAAATAGAAAAAGCTGTTACCACTGGAACACAGGAACTGCAGTTACTTCCATTCCCTTAATAGGGCCCCTCAAAATCTCTGCCAAGAAAGCAGTTCTGCAAAATGTAGAACTGGCCCATATTCCCTGCTGTTAGGTCTTATTACAGCTTCGCTGTCACCCATTTTACAAACCGCATGATTACACATAGTTTTGCATCAGCCACAGCATATCAATACGATCTGTATAAACTCAACCATAACTTAGTTTATATGCTGAATACCTCTTCTTTTTTAGGAAAAATGACAAGCACAGCTGTCACAATCTCTTTAGAAGCCAAATAGCACTACACACCCCATTCCTCCGCTCTTCTGGAAAACTTCCTAGGAGGCATCTTCCTTTAAAAGTTTGGGGGATGAGCACTTTGCCTCAGTGGCAAAGACACTGCTGTCATTTAATTTCCTCTTCACTGCTCCATGTCTAGAAAATTATTGGCCGTCCTGACATATAACAATCTGTTTGTGTAACAGAGATACCAGCACAATTTGCACTGTCTTTTAATTGAAGTATCAAAATCTTAGTGAGACTATGAACAGAACCTACCAATATATTTAGACTGACTTTTGCTTAGTCTTATATTTATTTTTCATCACCTTGATAAACTGTCAAATTATTTTGATTTTTTTATTGAGAGGATTTAAGTGAAGAGAAAAAATTTATTTAATATACCACAACTTACTGCAGCTTCTTGTGTCTAATGTTAATGCTTGATCACTCCTCAAAATGGCCATGTCCTATCTATTGACAGTAAACAAGCTTTTACCCATCTGAATGTGACAACATGTACTTTATTATTCACACTTAGGAAAACTGCCAGTAGTACTCCCTGTCCAGGAAGTCTGAATGTTTGCTTTTCTATCTCCATTTGCCAAATATAATTGGTTGCTATGTCAGTTTATTTTAAATCAGATCCCATTTTAAAAACAAGAGAAGGGGAGACCTTTAACTTCCAGAGTTCTGGAAAATTTTATCCTGTTAACTTGAAGCATTGTCCGAATAAGAGAAAATCATACTTTCTAAGAGGATTAGGTGACTGATATGTGTGCCATACATAATGCAGGGTTTAAAATTGTTGGGTTTATGTTTAGCAAAGTCTAATAAGTTATCAAGCTGTTCCATGTCCCTTGTATTTATCCCTTAAGCATGACAGTTTATTCACTTAGAGCAGAATTCTCCAGTCATAGATAATTTCACAAATTAACTCCTGAAGGGTTACTGCACACAAACAGGGCTGCAGCAAGACTTTTACTTCTTCTAAAGAGGCTCAGGTAAAGAGTATTCAATACTAGCCAAGCTCCTCTGCCTTCCTTTGTTCTAGGATCCTCTCCAGACAGATATTCTATTATTGTGGAAAGGTTGGTAGCCACCTTTCAAGTTCTCTAACCAGTTGGAAAAAATAGACTAAAAGAGAGAGCTCTGGCCTGAGAAGGAGGATAGAGCACCTCTCAATTGCCCTGCTCTCTTCTTTGCCTCTCCATCCTTTAGTACTCTCTGAACAAAAAGCCCTGTGTGCTCAATGGCAAACTGGACCCAAATTTTTCAGTAAAGCTCCTAGATTTTTGTTGACATTCTGGTGGAAACTTTGCAGCAGTTTCAGATAATTTTTTTAAATGTTATTTGAATGAAATAATCAAAATGAGTAATACAATCAATAACTAAGCTACTGAGTTGTTTGTTTCGATATTCAATTGCATTTATTTTATGTTGTTTCTACATTTTCAGTTATCTTTTGGTTTCAGCGTTAACAACCCATTAAGATGAATGGGGGAGTTCATCCATTTAGGGCCTGGTCTATATTAGAAAGTGTTTGCTGGTATATACTAGCAAGCCTTCCTAATGTAGACACAGCTAATACCAGCAAAGTAATTCTTTTGCTGATGTAGTTTATACCAATTCCCCAAACAAAATAAGGTAAACTGGCAAAAGTATTTCTTTTGTTGGTATAACTGCATCTACAGTCTGGCTTTTGCCAGTATCAACAGTAATTTAAACACCCCTCCCACCCCACACCAAGCATCACTACTATGCCAGTAAAAGTTTTTAGTGTAGACCAGGCCTAAGAGAGATTGTTTCACGCTGCCTGCAAACCTAGAATGAAACCATGGCATCACTTTTGAAAGATAATGTTATGTAAAATGAAAGTTGGATTATGCTCTGGAATCCCAATTACAAGGGGTGAATTATATGGCTGTAGTACACACAGGACCCTATCTAAGATATGCAGCTTAGCTATATATTTATTTATGTTTTAATCAAAAATGTCTTCAGCAGACCCCAAAGCCTTTCAGACGGGGCTGAATTATCTTGTCCACTGCAATTCTCCACCGAGGGGTTATGGTGGCCAGGGGAAGTCCCTGGTAGCAAATCTCTACTACAAATCCCAATTTGTAGATGCAAGTGACTGTGTGTGGGGGAAAATGTGCGCACAGGAACAGCAGTCCATTTTGAGGCTCCTTTGAAAATCTGGCCCCTATATCTAATCTCTAAAATTCTCTAATCCCAGGAATTAGAGAGCCTGCTTCCTGGCTTCCCTTTTATTCTTTCTTTTTACACTTTTTCCCCTTTACTTTTGTCTCTCAGTCAATAAGGAAAGTCAGAACAGCTGCTCCACTTGCTATTTTACATGGTAACTATGACTGATGTAGTTAGTCACTAATTATTTTAATAGGGTTGGTCCAAATTCCATTTTGTTGAAGGATTTATTATGTCAACTTCCCATTGTTTTTGACAACGGGATTTTGTCAATTTTAATTACTCTCTCTTGTGTAATGCTGCTATTTATTAATACTGTAAAGTTTAACACACAACTTCTGACATACAACACACGTCCCTCTAGGTATCTCTATAATTGAACAGCGATTCAATATCTATTGATAAAGGATGAAGGCTTAACAAAACATTAATTCATTCCAAAATTCTTTAAACTTGTTTTTGTTAAAGTGATCTAATTGGAGATTCTTTCCTTAACTTGTATGTTTTACCTACAGGAACTGTATCTCCCGTTCTTCCCCCATGTTCCAGCAATGGAACATTTATATTTATCACACCCTTTGAGGTACCCAAATTTGCTTTTGGCTTCCAAATCAGCTTCATACACAGCTAATGTATTCAGAAATATTAATTTTCTTATCAAAAGCTGTTGTATAATCAATTGGAAACAGTAGATTTCTGCCAGTTAACTTAAATTCTGAGCTTATAGTGTTTACAGAAGCTTTGACTATATAAGGCCAGATTCTGGCCCCTATACCCTGCTCCAGTGGCAGGAAGCAGTTGCAACAAGTTAGGAGAGAAGTCCCTTGACCCAAGAGCAGCATAGGGTTGACACTTCACCGTTCTTCGCCCCCCGCCCCAACCCTGGGTGGCCAGGAGTGGAAGTGGCCCAGAGCACAGACTACTCTGGGGATTCTGGGCTGGAGAGCAGCCCATAGGAAGCCCAGGCAAGGCTGCTGCATGTTAGAATAGTCCATGGTGCTGGTCTAACCATACACCAGGGCAGTTCTAGTTACTGTGGCAGCTCAGAATCCAAGTGGAGCAAAAGGTGATGTAAAGCCACCTGTGCCTCCCCTCCTCCTCCTCCTGTGCGGCATGTCTCAGAGGACACAGCAGACAACCTAGCCCATGATTAAGGACATATTTATCTAGTTTGCCATGGAAGAAACTTCTGGATAGGAGTTCCTCAAAGATTGGTTTTCATGCAATTTGCACCAGTTCAACTAAAATTGGGTTTCAGATCAATTTACTTAAAACCATGGAAACTCTTGTTTGGCTCACACTTAAATCAGCTATCAGTGACTATAAATTTAGCTTAACTTTTTAAAAACTGAGAATTTTAATTAAACCAATGCAAGGTTTTGGGTAAACAAAGCCTACGAAACATTTTAAATTGCAGTTGTAGTCAGAAAAGGGCCTATGTAAATATGGCATCTTTTTAGTCATTTGATCTGCTCCTGGTATGTAGTCAAAGTCACATCTGCTTACTTTACTAGCTAAAAAGATTTAATGGATTCTCTTCTGGCTCACACATCAGTAGAATTAACTAAATTCCAATTACAGAATCTTTATTGGTGATGGCACATGAGCTATAAAATCTCAGTTGGATTTTCAGATCCCAGGGTAAGTTTTCACGGTTAGCAGTCGAAAAATCTCCCAGTTTCTAAACAAAATATCAAAAGACATAATATCCCCCCCATTACCTAGAGGGGCAGATACAGCTACCTGGTTAACACCTTCAGTCTGCTGTGGGGAATTGCTGGAAAGCACCTTAGGGAGAACGTGGAAAGCAGCAAAGAAGACCTAGTCTCCTGACTCATAAGCATTAGATCTCACTGCCTCCATTGCAGTGTGCTATGCCAAATGGAAGCTGGTGAAAACAACTGTACTAACCTGTGTGAGAATAGATAAACCACAGTGCTCCTGTCAGCAGTGCTCCAATCACAAATGCTGCAAAGGCGATGCCCACAACGGTCAGAGTGTCCAGACCATAGAAAACTGCTATAAATAAAAATCAGTTTCATTTTGAATGCTGAATAGTACTTTTAAAAATGTCTCCTCCCTTTTTCACACAGAGTTTTGTGACATTTTCATATTTAATTAACCATCATTTTAAACGCAAGAAAAGAAAGCCCCATGATACTTAGCAGATTACTGTGATTTGTGTCTAAGGAGGACAAGCAATGCACATGCTTGCAGAGGTGAGCATGAAGAATGTCTTTAGTTTAACAAACTGTTCCGAGTCACAAAGCAAAAACCCAGCTCAAAACATCCCAAATCTAGCAAAACCGGAATGAATTCAAAGTGTTCTCAGGTTCTTGTTAATTATTCTTTGTTTTCAGTTAAATGTCAGGTTTAACTGAAATATATATTTAAAAAGGCTGTGAAGTCTTGCTAAAAGATTACTTTTTATTCATATCCTACCATTCAAGCCAACTTTACTCTATATCCTCTGCAACTTCAGCCCTATATCTAGGTGGAGAACGGAAGCGCTGTTAAGTAAGAAGTGGTGCCAGCTCAAAAGTCAGCAAAAACATAAATAGGAGCAATTGTTTTTCATATTTGGCAATGTTCTTAATAACAAATTAATTCCAGATCACAAAAATAGAACAAAAAAATCAGTTTCTAGGGGAGGCGACCTTTATGCAGTATAGTTTGTACGGTACTGCATCTGGTTCCTGAATGTATGTCTCCAAATGTTACTTACACAATTACAGCAACTTCCAGCCATTGTCTTGTATATTTCTTCTTTTTGATCAAAGACACCTTAATATGGTTCTCATACTGAATCAATTATTTTTTGTAGTTTTTCTTAGGACTAATTTCAGATGTAGTATTTCTAATGTCTCCCATAAACATATGAAATGATTTAAGCTAGTGAATAACTTTTTAGTAATTGAGTAAATAATGGAAAAGAACTGAACACACAGACTCCAATTCACCCCAGCGTCTGTGTTGGTGGGTGAGGGGGACATGGAGGAGGCTGGCCAGGGAATGCTTAGTAGATCTCCTCCAATTCAACTTCTTTCTACCTAGTTTCCTGCATCCAGCAGAATTCCCTCGAAAAGGCAGGCAGCAGCACCTCTACTTGCTTTCCCTGTCATTGATAGGTGCACTTGCATGGGTACTATACCTTTAAGACCCCTGCTTCCACTAAGGGAGCTCTTCAGAATCCCTTTCTGAGTATGTGCAGCCAGATTTGGGACAGAAAGAACAGCCCAGGTAGTGGCTCACTGGAGTTTTCTCCTATTTTTGACATTTCTGAGTCACTTGCTCATGTTTGGTTATTTTAAATCCAAACTATAATTGTATTTGTTAAACAGAGATCAACTCATCATCTTCTTGCCTTAAGATGCAGTTCACTGACAACTAGATCCCACTCATAGCAGGACACAGGTAGCCCAGCTGGTGGAGGGAGGTAAATTTTATCATTCCCTGTGCCACATTGTGTGAATCTAGTTCCAAGACCCAAAGAGACAAGCTCTTTCCCTTCATTTCTTTCACTCCTCACTTTCTAAATTCTCACCCTTCAGCTATCATTTTTCCTTCCCTCCCATCTGCGATGTATTTCTGGTGCTACCCACTCTCTTCAAGAGCTGACTGGGCCCTTTAGCATGGTTGAGATTTTCAGTGTCAGGGGAGTTGTGAAAGCTAATGTTGAACTCAGAGTGAAAGTCAGAGCCACATTTTATCACATCTGTGGTGGTCTTGGATGTTGGAGTACTGCAATCACCTATACAAATTACTGCTCTCCCCTCATGCATTCCTCTCTCTTAAAGTTAGTGGGCATGGCCCAGATCCTGGGAGTCATGTGCCTAACTATATTTGAGGATCTGGGATACTGTCCCCAGGGGCACTAAAACCAAAGACTTAATTCTGTTCTAAGTTTAAAAAGCTTTACGATAAATTCTCTTTGACTTAACCTTTTGTCTGGAAGTCGTTAGATCAGCGGTTCTCAAACTATGGATCAGGACTCCAAAGTGGGTCGCAACCCTATTTTAATGGGGTTGCCAGGGCTGGCGTTAGCCTTGCTGGGGTCTGAGGCTGAAGCTGAAGCCCAAGCCCCACTGCGCAGGACCAAAGCCCGAGGGCTTCAGGTTATAGACCCCCTGCCTGGAGCTGAAGCTCTTGGGATTTCACCTTTGGCTTTGCCGCCCCTCCCCCCCTTCCCCGCCCAAGGCAACGGGACTGGGGCAGGCTTAGGCTTCAGTCCCCCTTCCTGGGGTTGTATAGCAATTTTTGTTGTCAGAAGGGGGTCACGGTACAATGAAGTTTGAGAACTCCTGTGTTAGATCAACAAAGTAGATAGATATGCATAACTTACGTGGCTGCATCCCATTGCCTTTTGGCTTGTGAGTAGGTGGACCTGTTTAAAAAACAAAACAAAACAAAAAAACAAAACACACATTAATTGTATGATGCTCCATAGAAATACCACACACTATATAAGCAATCTTCAGCATCTCACTGGGAGGAAAGTCTACATGCACATGTTTTGATTTGTACATTTCCACTGTGCTCTGTGATGTGCATAAATTACTTGGTATTCTATTTTATTTATACTGGAAGACAAAAAATCATAGCTATGATGTTAAAGCTACTATTTTGAAATAATAATCAATCATCATCAACGTGGAATGGAAAGAAATACAAAACTGTCTTTAAAAATGCATCTTTACCCCTACTCTCTCTCTTATTTGGTATCCCTTCTTCATATACAAGCCTGGTATCTCCATGGAGGAACTATTAGATGTCAGGAGTCCCCTTCCTCTCAGGATACCCAAGGCCAACTTGAGGAGCCAGAAACCCAGATTTGGATTCTAATTCAAACATTGTGTTTGGTAACCCATGTTGCAATCTCTAGATCACCAAGCTGCCCAAAGAATTTAAATTCTGACATGTTTGAGTGTACCAGATGCTTCCATTATGAGAAGATTTGGCAAGGTACTGTAATGATACATATTTTTATATCTTTTAACAATTGGAAAAAATTTGCTTTGATCAAGGGGCAAGAGCAGTTCTAGAAGTTTCAAAATATATTGAAAGTTATTAGTTTTCTTTGTATTGTTTATCCAGCATGTATTTATATGCCAGGATTCGTGTTTCAAACCTCTTCAGTAGCAACTGCATTAACTAACTTGAACTACACAGGGTACCACGTGGCCAAAATTCTATATCTGGTTCATTACATTTTCCTCTCAGAAACACATAGCTGTAATATCCAAACCATTTTTATTTACTCCGAGAATAAACTAAAGCAGTGTAGTTTACCAAGTGGCTATCTTTTTATTTTTATTTTTAAATATATCATCCATGGCAAGTGGACTAGACAAGCATGTTAAAACAAGAATGGGGAAATTGGGACAATGTTAAGGTTTTTTGAGTGACCTTAAGAATTTGTTTCCTGATATAAGTGTTTTTTTTATTCATACATTTTGGAATATGTTATTGTTTTTAATATCTCAACCTTAGCTTTCTCAAAATGTAAGTTTTTTGGTTTGTGAATATACTAACAAGTTATCAAATGGAAGTCAAAGCAGAAGTATAAATGAATGTAATGTTTATGAAAGGCAATGGATTGAAACACTAGAGAGTGAAATAGTACAACATGGGTAGCAGCACTATAAGTTTGTCCATATATCCAGCTAGCATATCCCAACCTTGGACTAAACAGAGTGTCTCCAGTGGTGACAGGAATCAATTTTCCATGCTAATTCTGTCATTGGCCTCTCCACAGAATAGGAAGGTTGCCAGACAACAAACAACAACATTGCCAATTCACTGCAATAGTTATCCAGTTCCTTGGCATTAATGTGTGTTGCTTGCTGCAGCTTTGTGCCACACAAGAGGGGTGAGTGCGCCCAGGAAAAGTGTATAATTTTAAAATAATAGATGCCAGCTTTAAGTAACACACATGGTTTTCTATATCTTGGTTTAGGAAAAGTGCTTGTCAGTGGCTCAGGACCTCTTTTCTGTGATCTTGCTCCCTTCACTGAACCCCCCCCTCCCCAATATTTTCCACATCTTGCATAAACTGAACAAGTAGTGAAATGGACATATATTCTTCTGTTGAAAAGTTCAATTTCATAGACTTTAAATAAATTTCTTTCTACACCTTTCATTTAAATTGTGCCAAAGAACAGATGTGACTTAAAGATGCCAGGATATGGATAATTTTTTTAAAAATTTTATTTGTTTGGCCATTTTTAGGAGGTTTCATGGGAATCTGATACAATAAGGTGAAGAAGCAAGCCTGTAAAAACCTATAAAGCAAAATGCAAACTAGAAGGGGGTGTTTTCCTCTAAATATACAGCCATGGTTTCCATTACAGTCAATGGAAGTCACGTGCATGATGTATGGAGAAGAAAACAGACACCTTTGCATTGAACAATTTGTGCTGGCTCCCAAAATGTCAAACGTACAAGCGTCTTCATTTGACTTACAGAGCAGATGTAACATAATAGTTCCAATAACATGGTTTGTAACAATACCCATGAAAGCTGGCCTGTTCCACATCAAAGCAAATGATAATTGACATCTCTAAGATGCAAATACTCTTATTTTAGTAGTGCAATATAATTTGTTCTCAATCTTACAGATTCACTGTGCAGTCAATCACAGCAGTTACCCTTTAGAAAAGGGCCATTTGATTCATTGTGGAACAACTGCGTATCAGAGATGTTAAGGTGCTAATAGTTGTGCATTATGCTCAAAATCTGCAATATGCTGGGAAGAGTTCCACCAAACATTTAGACAAGATCACCCACAATGCAACAATAGAGTCTATCAAGCAACTGTCTCCTAGTAAATCTGGTTTGACTTTTACACACTAAGGCCTGGTCTACACTGGGGCGGGGGGAATCAATCTAAGTTACGCAACTTAAGCTACGTGAATAATGTAACTGAAGTCGACGTACTTAGATCGACTTACTGTGGTGTCTTCACCGTGGTGAGTCGACTGCTGCCGCGCCCCCGTCGACTCTGCCTGCGCCTCTTGCCGAGCTGGAGTACAGGAGTCGACAGGAGAGCGCTCGGGGGTCGATTTATCGCATCTAGACTAGATACGATAAATCGACCCCCACTGGATCAATCGATTGCTGCCCGCCGATCCGGCAGGTAGTGAAGACATACCCTTAGACCTTGTACTCTTTATACAGACATAACTCCAGTTGAAGTTATCCATGGAAGTTGCACACACAGCCCCGCACATCCAAAAGGAGAATAGAGCTCTGGGTGTAAACCTGTTTGCTGAAGGATAAACATCAATTACCCAGTTTAATGTGTTCTGTCAGGAATGGGTAATCACTGAGATCAGTGGGAGTTTTGCTGAGGAAAGAGTACAGAATCAGGCCCAAAAGCATAGTTTTAATTGTACTGCATTTACCAATCAAATACTTGCCTTTAATTCTTAGTGGATTTAATTTGCATAAAGACATGGGCTTCCTTGCAGAGTTAAACAAAAACAGTTGTTGATTATGTCCCCCAGCAATGTTCCATGTAATCCATATGCTGTTTAAACACTAAAAAGCATGCACTGCAGCACTGAGGTTAAAGGATTTCTGATCCCCCATCCTTTGACTCTGTCTGGAAAGCATTCCAAAATTTCAAACAGACGTTGCATGCAAATGGAAGACTTTGAGCTGCAAGTGAAGCTACTGAAACCCTCTAAACTACAATGCTAGAGCTAAAAGAGAATGAACAATGCAAATGTTTTATTAATGTTCAAAGGAGCAGTAACAGGGAACAAGGCACTGACTCAAACTGAATTGGTCTATGGGGGTCTAACAGAGACACATGAGGTGCTGGCAGAAACTCAGGAATACTTGGCTTTCTGGAAATTAGCTGGTGATTGCCGAGTCAGTCTGCAGTAGAGCTGATCTTTCCCTGCAAGATATACTGCTTGAAATGAGTAGAGACAGGATTGTGTCCTTCAGAAGTACCTGAAACAGAAGCAACTGATACTGCCCTGATGTTTACATAGGCTATCATTACTTGGTCACCATAGTTACCATTTGCTGGTCCTGAATCACACACTCATAGGCTTGGAGAACTAGGGGACTGCCTAGAGCTCCAGGAGAGTAATACTTCTGCTTCACAAGCAACCACTCTCTCAGCCTGGGGTGTGAGGTGCACACTCTGAAAGCCTGCCACCAGCAAGGGTGGCAAGGAGGAAGGGGGAGAAGTAAATAAAAGGCATACACATCATGCCAGAAAAGTCTGAATGATTGGGGGAGAAGGCGAATTCTCTTGCAATTGCAATCAGTGTCTTTTCCCCAGCTGTCACCATAGAATGCAGCCCCACAAATGTAAGATGTTCTCCTGATGGAGAGTGTGAAAGAGGATGGTGGGGAAATGGCCACTCATAGGGGAAGGAAGGTTAGAAAAGTGGAAACAAGTTTCCTGTTTGTCATCATGGCCAACCACACTCAGAATATTCCAAGCTTTGAAAGAGAAAGCAGAGGAGGGACTATGCACTGAGAAAGGGAAGCTGCTTCTAGGAAACCAGCTTAAAAGGGTGAGAAGTGTCTAGCATGCTGGGTAAAAAGGGTTCCTACATAACTTGGAATGTTTGTGTCAGTAAGCTTCTGGGGATTCTTCCTTAAAAGTGAGATTTTTTTCCCCCCAAGTAAAAAAATCCAGGTATTTTAGGGCTTGTCTACATGGGGAGTTACTCACAATTAGCTCTGTGTGTGGATGCTCTTACTCCAGAATAAGCTAATTTGAAGAGAGTGACTGTTGAGATGGGGAAGAGGGTGTTAGTGCCCACCAAGGACATGGGAAATACCCAAGCTTGTCAGAGGCTTGTCAGAGGACAGGGAGCCTCTGTAGGGCAGGGATGATGTTGAGGCTAGAAGGGTGGAGAGAAAAGGCAACTTGAACCTCTGAAGAGGGTCCTGTTTAAAACTCTTATTCCTGGGCAGAGCTTTGGGGCTCTCCACACCAAAGACTGCCAGAGTACAAAGGTTCAGAATCACAAGCAGTTGAGCAGGATGTCAGGAAAGGGAGTCTAGAATGGTGTCAGGGTTCCGGAACTAGGTGAGTTCTGGACCTGAGTCATCTTCCTGGCTATTGCCCTGGAGCATTTCCTGCACCAGACAGGGATTGAGGAATCTGAGATGTCAGTAGAGGCAGGATTATGGGTAGGGCACAGAGTGCAGGATGGCTCTGATGTTAGCTTTAAGTGAGCCTGAGAGAAGCCAGTTTGGGCAGGTGGATCCTCATATGAAGGGAATGATCATGGTACAGGGGATTGCTAGGAAGGAGGCTAGGCCCAGCTGTTTGAATGAGCCATGGAGGAAAAGCTAGACCATGGAATCAAAGTGGAAACACCAGAGAAGAGTGCCTGTGAAGTGTGAGTGGCACAGGCAGCAAAGGCATGTGCTATAACCCAACAACAGGAGGGAGACGGATAGGAGTATCAAATGTGCAATGCCTGAGCTGCTCATAGCTCCAAAGCAGCAGAAAAGTTGACCTATAGCTACAGACTTGTGGGTGCTGGCAGGGATGTGAGGAGGGAGCAGAGTCCTTATCTCCCAAGAGCAAGCTGCAGTGGGGAGACAGCATCAGACAGGCTATTGGAGGCTGAAGGAGCTCCCTGGACAAAAGACAGTTGATTACAAGTGAATCAGTTCAGAAATCTGAAGGATGGATTTAAGTGAGGGTTTTGCTGACTCTGGACTGTTTTTTGGTTAGACCTTTTCAGTTACCCTTGCTCAGAGCATCTAGTACAGAAACAGAGTTTTCTATCTGCTACCCAGGTTCTTCTCCTTTCTTCCTGAACCTCCTCTCTTTAGTGTTTAGACTTTTCTTTTCCTTTCTTAAAGGAAGAGAACTAAGTCAAATGCTTCATGTTTACAAGAACAAGGAGACAAAAGAATTGAAGAAATGTGGATGGGCTGTCATTTCTATATAGACCTTGTCAGCCCCTTTGCCTCCAGACTTCTTGGCAGGTAGAGCCATAATGCTGTCTGCTCTAACTGCCTCTGCTGGGAAGACGGCAGAAATGGACTATTTGACAAAGAATCATGTGCATTAGAAGCAGCACAGCACCCAGGAATCGACAAATTTTCATGACTCTGTACTTGGAGTTTTTTGTAAAAATGCTAAATGAGTTAAACAAACCCCAAGAAAACCAATGAAACACTACAGTTTCATCTCTTCATCTTACTGATCTAATCTTCTAGTGGAGCTGGTTTCCCTGTGGCTACCCCTTTACTTTACAAACCCCTCAAGCTTTAATATTTCCAATACATTGAAATTTCAATGTAATTACCATGCTTAAATATTTTCAGCCACAAAGAAGAAATTATACAGCAGATAGTAAAGAATTGCTTTCAATTTCCAAACAAGAATGAATTGCTAGAAGCAATTCTGCTATATTAATACTTATGAAACCTATATTGTTGTAAAGCATAGGAAGAGTATTCCTTTCTCAACAGTAGCTAAAATACATTTCCATAAAAAAGTAACTGCGGGCATTCAGATAACATGGTGGACTGTGCCACACAAATGTCTACAAATGAACACATTTTATAAGAACAAGGGTACCTTTTAAAATATAAAATTGTATATGCCTAAAGCTATCTTTTTTGGCAATACAAATGGTTATATGTTGTATAATGCAACAAAGTGATGTTAAGAAGTTCAAAATGTACATTGGTACCTTTTGGCTTTTCTTCATGGGTTATTACAGCAAGGGGCTTGGTGAAAGTTTTCTTATTGTGCATCATGGCCAAGATCATATCAACATTGAGCGAGGTGCAGGCTTCATCAGGAGGAATGCACTGTGGATGGAAACATCTGAGGTCAGGGATTCACTCAAAATAAAATACAGTATCAGCCAGAGCAGCTGCACAGCTGCCTCATTATCAGTGTTTGCTCAGTATTGTTTACTAACGAGAAACAGGAGATCTGAACGTTATCAACCCTCCAAAAAAACAATCTCTGTAATACACTGGCAAAGAAAACTTATTCTCAGCTAGAATGTTCAGATGTTCCAATATTAGGGGCTTTGCCTTATATAGAATCCTATTACTCTCCCTATTCCCACCCCCACATCCCAATTTTTCACACTTGCTATCTGATCACCCTATTCTCAGCTGCATCTTAAGATGTAAACGTGCCTTAGTGCTACATTACTTAAAACTCTATGAAAGTTTTACTATTGAATTGTTGCTGTAATAGTTGCATATTAGGATATCAAAGGCTGATGTTAATTACATAGAGGGTCAATATCTTCAAAGAGCTCTCACCCCAGTTACCTTCACTTGTCACAGCTAGCTTTTATACTCATTGAGTAGTTGATTTTTCATGTATAAATGCTGTGTGTCTATTCAAATCCAGGCTTCTATAGAAAAATTTGGACACACAGATTTACAAGAACAAAAACAGAGTCCACTTTTGAAAATCCGGGGGCCGTTCTGTAGCTCACTAGTGCATATATAGTGCATATACAGATCAATAATGTATGAGTCTTTTCTTATGTTAAAGAACTATTACAAATAACTCAAATTTTAGAAGTTATGCAGGTAAGTCCCAAACGTCTGAATAAAGTCAGAATACCTAACAGTTCATTTTTTGACAAAAAGATGTATTTTTAGTTATATACTATTTTTAAAGTAATAGTTAGGCAGCAGTCTCACAATAATCAAACAGGAAATGTTAATTCTACTTAAATATATTGGAGTGAACATTCAATACAGAGAATTTACTATAAATCCAAAAAAGTAACCACACTGAACTCTGGAAAACAAATGATAATATTTACTTATTTCCCATCAATGTCCTCCTGAGATGGGCCAACCTTACAATTCACATATGGATGTTCAAAAACAATTACAATATTATCTCAGCAGGCTCTGGAAAATTAATGTTAATTTTGTTTATCCTATTGCTATTTTATCTGAATAGAACAGATAAATCTGGACCACTCCCTTAATGAAAAGCAATCTCTGGTTACCACATGTAACCACTTACTTACATTTTCCACTTTAAAATGTCAACCATGTGATCAAGATTCAGCATAGCTCTGAGTAAAAAGAGCCTATAAAAATTATCAGGTCCACTGATAAAATGTTAATTACACTAATCTAAGTCTATAAAATCTTCAAATAGAAAAGTTAATCCCAGGAACTACTATGATCTGGAACTTATCTTGTAAAAATTCTCATTTTTTATCTAAATCTGAAAGCTTAAGGAAGTTAACAAACTACTGACCTTCGGCAGTCCTTGAGTGTCTTTTTCTTTATTTGTACACAAAGTCAGCTCACAATGAAGAAAGAGCAATGAGATGTTGAATATAGGTTTAAACACAAAGCTAAACCTCTTTTTGTCCATCTGTGCATGTGGTATAGGAAAGTTCACCTTCTGGACATTGTAGAATTTAACAGATTCATCTTTAGGACAAATGTTTTCTATGATGGTGTAATCAGATATCATATCAGGGTTTGAATATGGTGAAACAAAACATGTTTGGATCGCAAAACCCAGGGCTCTGTCAGCTTTCGTCACAGAAACCTGCATATGAAAAACAATTTATTAAAAACTTAGCAGTGGCATTTTTGTTAGCAGCATTCACATTTTGGATGATTATGTGGTTTTCAGATGCCAGTTCCAATCAAATATTTCAAGCCTAAATTATGAGGATGTACGGTCTAGGAGATACTTAAAGGATGGACGACAAGTTTTGTGGGTTCAAATCCAACTTAGTCATTGTCCTAGCATGTGATTTTTTTTGGAGGGTCAACCCTCCCTGTACTTCAGCCAACTCACCTGAAATATCCTGTGAAAAGTAGGCCCACTCAATAGAATGAATGCTATATCTGAACTGAGTTTTTGGGAAAGGGGAGGACACTAACACCACTCCCCCAATAAGTTTACAAACCACAGTAGAAGGCTATGGGAGCTGATTACAAGTTCCTCACTGCTGTATCTGCATAAATCTTCACTTAAATATAAATACATGCACACACAGAGTGGAATGCAGAGGCAGAGTGGAGAGGTCATGGTTTGAAGCAAGGGTGGGGCTTATGAGTTCTGTGGAGGAGCAGGCTAGCAAGAAGCTATGCAGCTGTAATATTTTCTGTGTGATCGCTACAAAGACAGTGACTCTATTCTTTTATGGGGGGAAAGGGGGGAACCCATTCCCAACCCTCAGTGCACTGATATTATTCAGCCCAACTGGAATACGAATGCCACAAAGCAATTTGGGGGGGCGGGAACTATACAGGTACATTTACATTTTCCATGCACATTAAGCATGTTATTTCTATAAAAAACTGGAGTGTTGCCCCTAATTATCAGAACAGCATGATGAAGAGTCTCACTAGCCTTAATATCCTACTCACAAAAATGTGCCATATGCATGCATGCGTTTTGCATACATCCAATGGAGAACCTGCCAAACTTTTCTACAGTCTAGAAAGAAATCTCAGACTGGAGCCAGTGGATTGCACAGAAAATTCTCCTTTTCCCTCTAAGTATGCAGAGCAAAATCACTAATTTAATTGGAGAAAGTGGTTGAAGCATCTAAACAATAGAAACAATCTGTTATTAAGAACAGGAAATAGAGGGTGAGGATCAGAAAGGCGAAATGGTTTGAATGAAAAGGACTTGCAGTAGGAAGGACAGATGTGGTTTATGCATAGACAAGCCCCAAGGTCACTTCGCGTCTGAATGAGAGCATCCATGAGAGGTGGGATGGAGGGTGTTCACACTCTTGGTTGATTTCTCTTAGTAACTTTCCTAGGTGAACCTGGGCAGACGCTTCCTCAGGGAGATCCAAACAAGCTAGATGAATGCGTAACACTGCAGCAAATGAAATTTGGTGTTGATAAATGCAAAATCTACACCCTTCTGCAGCAGATAAGAGGCTCAGAGTGTGAACTGGCCCATTCATCTCATGGGATATTCTTACATTAAAAAGTACATTTAAAGGTGATAAATGAAGTCAGTAACAATACCTCTTAGATGTGATAACTGTTCTGTTCATAACAATGGATGTTCTCACTCCCTCCCGAGTTCCTAGATGCCTGTATCATTTACTGAGCATGCCCATTCTTAATCCCTTCCCCCACGTCCCAGTGGTATATACCCACTGAAAGGACTGAGCATGCCTGTTCCCAGAGCCTGGTACAGATTCAGCGATGAAGTGAGAGCAGTAATTAGAAATAAAAAGCAATACGGTATAAAACAGATAGGGAAAACAGTGCAAGCAACACGAATTAGAAGTTATGAAATGCAGAAAATTGATAATGGAAGCTAAAGATACGAGGGGAAAATCCATGGCTGGCAGGGCTTAGCACAATAATGAGTTTTTAAAATGTATGTTATGAACTAAAGAAATGCCAGCAGTGGTACAGCCCCATTACCAGATGTAGTTGATAACACTTACTGATGAAGAAAGACAGAAGTGTGTAATAAATATTTCTGTATTTGGAAAGACGCAGGATGATGCACTTGTATCAGATGAGGATGATGAACAATTTTCTAACTAAAGAGGATGTTAAACATCATCTTATGGGACCAAACCTTTTGCAGACCCAGATAACTTGCACCCAAGAGTCCAAAAAGATTTGGCTGAGGAGATTTCTGGTTCTCTGATGTTAATTTTTAATATATCTTGGAACATTGGGGAAAATACTAGAGGACTGCTAATGCTATGCCAATATTCAAAAAGGGCAAGTGGGATGACCTGGGTAACTATAGGTCAGTAAGCCTGATGTCAATCCTGGGCAAAATAATGGAAAAGCTGATACGGGATTGCATCAATAAAGAATTAAAGGATGGGAATATAATTAATGCCAGTCAACATGGTTTTATGGAAAACAGATCTTGTCAAACAATTCTGATTTCATTTTTTGATAAGATATTATGTTTGGTTGATAAAGGTAACTGCATAGATGTAATAGACTTAGACTGTAGTAAGGTGTTTGACTTGCTACCACATGACAGTCTGATTAAAATTAGCACTATACAATAGCAATAAAGCACACATTAAATGGATTAAGAACTGGATGACAGATCTCAAAGTAGATGTCAGTGAGGGAATCCTCATATGTTTCTAGTGGGGATCCATAGGAATTGGTTCTGGGTTTGATACTGTTCAACATCTTTATCAATGATCTGAAAGTAAATATCAAATTTGTGGGTGACAAAAAGATTGGCGGAGCGGTAAATGATGGTGATGACAGAACACTCATACAGAGCAATCTGGATCCCTTGGTAAGCTGGGCCCATTCTAACAAAATGCATTTTAATACCTCCAAATGCAAAGTTATACATCTAGGAACAAGGAATGCAGGCCATACCTACAGAAGGGGGGACTGTATCCTGGAAAGCAGTGACTTGGAAGGGATTTGGGGATCATAATAGACAAACAACTCAACAGCTCCCAGTGTGATGCTGTAGCAAGAAGGGCTGGTGCAATCCTTGGAAGTATAAACAGGGGAGTAACGCATAGGTAAAATTACCTCCCTACTCCTATCTGGATGGCACTGGTGAGACCACTGCTGAGGGGCTGCGTCCAAGTCTGGTGTTCACATTTTAAAAAGGATGTTGAGAAACTGGAGAGAGTGCAGAGAAGAGCTACAAAAATGATTGGAGGGCTGGAGAAAATCCCTTAACGTGAGGAACAGAGCTCAATCTGTTTAGTGTATCAAAAAGAACGAGAGGTGACTTGATTACAGTGTATAAATACCTTAACAGGGAGAAAATACCAGATAGTAGAGGGGTCTTTCATCTAGTGGAGAAGGGCATAAAAAGAACCAATGGCTGGAAGCTGAAGGCAGACAATTTCAAATTAAAAGTGAGGCATGGGTTTTTTGTTTTTTACAGTGAAGGTGATTAACCAGTGGAACAAACTTTCAAGGGAGGTGGTGGATTCTCCATCTCTTGATGTCCTCAGATCAAAACTGGATGCTTTTTTGGAAGATTGCTTTAGGCAAACTCAAGTTGTTGGGCCCAATACAGGGGTAACTGGGTGAAGTTTAATGGCCTGTAATATACAGGAGATCAGACTAGATGATCTAATGGTCCCTTCTGGCCTTAAACTCTATGAATTATAACATTCTGAATTTCATCCAGTAACACAAGTGGTTTTAGAAGAAAAGTAGGTGAGCAAGGATGAGCAAAAAGTCACCACATAAGAAAAAAGATAAACAAGATCTACAGAGACAGGATGTGAGATGATTATAGAATTAACATATTGATAAGAAAAAACAAAGCAGAGATAAAGGAAAAATGCACAAGTGATTACAATAAAGAAAACAATTCTTATAGAAACAGAAACTACGCAGGAGAGACAAGTACCAGGTCCTTAGAGATTATGCATGAGTAATTTATTGACGAAAGAAAGAGACAGACATTTTTCAAACAAACAAAATACAATGTTTTTTCTATCAGTGGAGGATGGAGGAACAAATGCCTGAAACAGATACTAATTTTCCACTGTGCAGAAAGGAGAAACAGAGGGAAAAAAATCAAGCTCATCCCAGGACAGAGGATAAAGAAATTAAAGTATGTATTTGAAGAAATAACTCCAAGACCAGACAAATCCAGAGCCAGAGGGATTCATCCCAGAATGCCGAAGGAAGTTGACAATCTTTGTCCAAGTGAAAAACTAATACCTTTTACTTTAAAAAAAAAAAAGCCACCTTAATTAATTTTGATGCATTTTAACCTTGCTTCAATTTCTTTTAGCGTATTTTTCACTATAGAATTTTGAAGTATTTGAAAGAAAGTAATTTTTATAGGTAGAGGACTAACAGGCAACTAAACATTTACAGAGCACATAAAATGAACTGTTACACTAACTGAAAGTACTAAAAATCATATCTGAATATTGTTCCCAAATGTGTTTGTTAAATATCACTGGTAATTACTGCTAGAAAGATGTACTTCTGTTTAAAGAAGGTTTGCTTATATAGTGGACCTTATATTCTAAGGTCTTCTAAGTACATGGGCAAGTTCCTGTGATATTCTCTTGTCATTCTACTTGGTTGGTATCTTACTAACACAGATGCATATCCAATATAAAGATTTTCACAGCATATATGTTAACAACCACTGAATGAAAACAATAATTTGTACAAGAGAAGAAGTTTGACACCTGTTTGGTATACCAAAATGTGACTGGAAGTGGCTTAAAGGTGAGATGGAATTATGACGACAATGTTAAGACCCTTTCCTCCACCATGTAACCTGTGGGGGGAAGGGGAAGCTGTAACTGTTTTGTACATAACTTCACCTGGAAAATGTAGCTAAGCTATATTTCTGTATAAAATGAACTCATTCCTCACTGAAAATTCTATGTACCGATGCTTGTAATTATCCAATAAAGGTCTGTAAGAGCTAAGAGACCAGATTCAAGTACTGTTCCATACTGCAGATCTGACCAGACTGACAGACTTCTTTTAGTTGGATTTACCCACTTTGAGAGGACTCTTTGGTCTTCACCACAAAGAATTGTCTTATTAACCTATGATGTCCCTTTTCTGAAATCACAGAAGTACACATCTGTCTGAGACAGGCAATCACACAATGCCAGTTTACTGCAGGCAAGCACAAACTTGGCTAAGCTTACATGGCCTTGCCGAACATTTCGGTTAATCTGAAAGCCTTTCAAAGTTTGTTACCTCAACGTAAATCTGTCCATTCTCAGCAACAGAGAAGAGTCCTTGTAAGGGAGCGAAGAAGAGGTCTGTTTTATAAAGCTCCATGTTGAAGGTCACATTGCTGATGCGGGGTTCAGGAGGCGCAGGATTAGGTAAGCGTTTGCCACCCTCTGCCTGGTGGAGTGTGCAGTTAAACTAAAACAAACGAAATACAAATAAATCCCAGAACTTTTGCCCCATGGTATGGAAATGAGAGCAGAATTAGGCCCAAAGCTAAAAACTTTAATTTCAAAATAAATATAAGGTATTACATACCACAACTATTTCAGGCCTGCTTGGAAAGGTAGCATCTGCTTCATCAGTGTCTCCTGGAAATCCATTATCACCCGATTCGACATCTTCATCATCAATTCCCCAACCACTACTTTCCACTGGTGATGACAGCTGAATAACAATCTACATAAAGGAAGTGGGAAGTGAAAACTAAAAGCTTTTCTACAAAGGTGATTGTGATTCTCTTTTCATGTTAATTGTTTCTTCCTTTCTTCAGAACAACATGAAGACCAAGAAGTTGTGGCAGCCAACCAGCTGGGGAAAGCACGCCATCCCTGCAGCCCAGCACTGAGCATTTTATGTATGTATACTATATATGTGGAATAACCATCAGTTTGCTCCTAGATGTCAAAACCAGTAGAGCCGTAAAACTGCTCTCTATGTTGGAAAAGCAGTCTGGGGATTGGTATGTAAATGAGCATACCAGCAGTCCCACTCTGCTTCTGGTATTTCTGTATCCAACACTGCTAAAAGAAATGGTTCTCTGAAATGGATTAACATACCTTCCAACATACAGTGACTGACTCCCGGAAGAATCACAAAAAGTTCTAGCAGGTAGCAGGATTTTCTCCTGTAAAATCTCTGTATCCTCCTCCCCCCCCCCCGTTTTTTTTAAACGACATAAGCTGGAAAACTTGCTATCCCTTTTCACACGTCTCTCTTCTCTGGACCCCTACCTGACCCCTCTTTTTCCCCTCCCCCACTGTTTCTTTCCTCTCCTCTGAGATACCTTCTCTCTGGTGCTCCACGCATCCTCTTTCTGCTTTTCTCTCTCTAACCTTCACCACTGAGCTTCTGTGTTTCCCCATCTGCTCCTCCACTGCTCTTTTGCTTCTCTCACAACTTCAGCTTTGTTTTCTCAGCTATAGTACAGCTTCTAACAAGTGACATTTTCTTCTGAACTGTTTGGACACCTCACCCTTTCTGCAGACTGCTGAATCACCTTTCAGTGGGAATTCTCCCAAACGCTGGGAAGCTCAGGACCTTGTACAGTGACCTGGAGCTCCAAATCAGTTTTTTCACTGAGAGGTGCTTGGATCAGTTTTGGTTTGACCCACTATACAGACTGGGTCCAGACACAAAGTTTAGATTGAGATGTATTTTCTCCACAATTTTGGGGTGTTTAGATTCAGGTTTTTGGTTTGGGCCCATCTCTAAGTCAAAAGCTACAAGGTCTTGCCAGTACAGAATAGTTTTTAGCCAGGCTAGGTCTGATCAAGTGGCTGTAGCTATCCTTGGGTTTCCTTTGTTTGCCAGGGATACTATAATGTGCTTAAAACCCCCAAAAGAGTAAAACAGGTTAGTGCTTGTTGGCCTGGCCAATATCTATTCAAGTTCACAGTGCAACTACTGTGCAAGTTCTTGTAGTAGAAAGCCTAGAAGCAAAGTGGGATTCTTTACGTGGTCACTTACATACCCATATCCAGATTACATTCCAAGTATGCAACTGTATGAGAATTCTGAAACCAATTTTCAAACTGGGGGGCCCACATTGGATGTTCAGATCAGCACTTCGCTATCTGGGTACCCACAGTGCCCATTCAAGTAGTTGTTGGGGAACTGAATTCTGTACTTGGATTCAAACTTGAAGTCGAGGCCTGTCTTGCACACAAATAGATGAGCACTGAATATTTATTTTAAAACATGTACTTGTAATGAGGCTAATGCTCATGTGAAAAGTAACAAGTGACACAACAGCGTACAATACTGCCTTCCTGTATTCAGAGAATAAACACACTTGAAAGCACATTTGAGGAGCTTATTGGTAGAGTCCACCAGCCTTTCATTGTGGAAGGCTTGGGTTCAGGTATTATGTTAGTGGACACAAGTGAAAATGTGTGGTTTAGTGGGCACTTGTTCCATTGTAAAATAGCACCACACAATTTGCCATGATCAGCAATCTGTGCTCAGGAGAAGCCCAGGCCTTCACTGAATGGCAAAAGAGCAAGATAGAAGCCTGCACAGATTGGACCACTCCCTCAATTTCAGGGGCATTATTCATTCAAAGTTATAGAAGAGAAGTGTTCCCTACAGGAGGAGTTTTAATTTATATTTTCTTTTGTGATCATAAATCTTTGTTGCCATACCAGCTCAGGGCTAAGTTGTGCTAGTAGTGAGGGGGTACTGTAGAGTTGCCCTGGGGGAGCTCAGGGAAGACTTGTGCCTCCCTCTCCAAGCAGCATGGTGCATGAAGGAAGGCTGCATCATATTTTGGAACAGTGCAGCTAGTTCCCCACAGTGCACCTGGCTTATTCCAATGTCTAGCACGGAAGAGGGGAACACACTCCCATCTCCTCCCACTCTCTTTTGGATGTCATGTGCCCCCAGCAATACACTGAAGGAGCAGCCTCGCACTTTCCTGAGTTCAGAGACTGTAACTGTGACTGGCCCTAGCCTGGGCATGAAAAGATTGAGAAGGGGGCACACCTCCTTAATACTCATACTAGGTCCAGTCACAATCTGGTCCTTATAGCCTTATTGTACCATAACAATACACAGCAAAGAAAAACATCTCTCCTTGTAAAATACTCACAGAGTTAAAATAAACTATGTTATCCAAGGCATAGTCTATCTGTTGAGTCCCACAGCTGTGCAACGAAGATTCCAAAATGAAATGGGTACCATTCATCTTCGCTTTACAGGCAGGATCTAGTAGTGAGAGTTCTGTCCCTGTGTAACCATTAGCCTAAACAATGACATTGCATAAGTGGCTGAAACCTCAGAGAAAATACAATTGCACGAGATACATACTTACAAGTTATACTCTTATTTTAAGTAGAGCATAGTATATTTTTGCATGACTATTAATAAGACTGCCATTGAAGTGCATGTCCTGTGACATTTACTACAAAATACTGTCACACAATGACATTAGTTGTTGGAACAACAGAGGAGACAACCATCACATGGAGTAAAAAAAAGAAAATAGCTATACAGTAATTCCTCACTTAAAGTCATCCCGGTTAACGTTGTTTCGTTGTTATGTTGCTGATCAATTAGGGAACATGCTCGTTTAAAGTTGTGTAATGCTCCCTTCTAAAGTTGTTTGGCAGCCGCCTGCTTTGTCTACTGCTTGCAGGAAGAGCAGCCCCTTGCAGCTAGCTGGTGGGGGCTTGGAACCAGGGTGGACCGGCAGCCCCCATATCAGCTCCCCGCTCCCTAAGTTCCCTGTGCAGCAGCTGCCCAGCAGACTAGCAATTGCAGCTGTCCCTCCCCCCCACTGCCATGTGCTACTCCTGCCCTCTGCCTGGGAGCTGCTCCCCGAGACTCCTGCTTGCTGTGTGTGTGGGGGGGGGGAGGGAAGGAAGTGGGGGCTAATGTCAGGGTGTCCCCCTCCCCCCTGCTCCTGCACCCCGCTTACCCCAAGTTCCATAGAGCAAGGGGGACACACCAGGGCTCAGGATGGAGGGAGCTTGCAGCAGCTGCGGTCTCAGCAAGCTCATCTAATTATCAAGGCAGTGTACTTAAAGGGGAAATGCGCATATCTCCCTCCATTTCCGCTGCCTTGTAGAGTGAGAGAGTTAACCCTTGAGGGCTCAGCCAATTGCTAGTTCATCATTTAGCAGTAAGGGAAATATCCCACCCTCTGACTCCCCCACCTCAACCAAGCTTCACAATCATCATCACTGTGTACCAGTATTAAATTGTTTAAAACTTATAGTGTGTGTGTGTGTGTGTGTGTGTGTGTGTGTGTGTGTGTGTGTGTGTGTGTGTGTGTGTCTCTTTTGTCTGGTGAAAAAAATTTCCCTGGAACCTAACCCCCTCATTTACATTAAATTCTTATGGGGAAATTGGATTCGCTTAACATCGTTTCGCTTCAAGTCGCATTTTTCAGGAACATAACTACAACGTTAAGTGAGGAGTTACTGTATTTTTCATTCTAGTATGAACTTCACTGTTTGGCCAAAACTGAACTTAAAAAAAAAAAAAAAAAAGCCTTATTCTGTACAAGACTTCCATCCACAATGCAAATTATTCCTCCCTAAGGCACAAGCAACCTCAGTGTAGATGGTGGGTGGTAGGAGAGCTGTAAATGCCATTTTTTATGGATCATAGTGGATGTCCATCACAGTCCCAATCTCTAGTCTCCGGCATCCAGCAATTGCCTCTTCACATTTCCGGTCATGAAGAGCCTGTAGAACCACCTGTCTACAAATTCTGGGACAGGCCAGAACCCAGAATTGGGGAAAAGAATTTTTGCCATATGTTTCCCCTTCAATCTGTGGGTTATCTGGAATGTGGCTATGGGTAACGGTTGGTCAGGATCGGGCCTTCTGTAAAGTGTTTCACAGTCTGGGATTAAGAGAGCAGACTAACCTGCAGGGAGTCTTTTTCTACTGCAACAGTCATCATTTTGTCATCACATTTTACTGAGAGGGCTACATCAATGCTTCCCTGCACCTCTTCAGGTTCTTCAGATTCTTGAAGCAGTTGCTCATAGAAACGACTCATTATTGTGTCTTCTGTATCCCTTGGTAAGGAAATTCCTTCTCCCACCTTATCGTGCCTTCCTCTGTTAATGTGAAAAGGAAAACCCAGGCCGTCGCTTAATGTGGGCTCCTTCAAAGCAGGCAGAGGGTTATCTGACAGTTCGGTCAGCTCTGGGGGAAGAAAAGGGTGGTCTTCGTCATTCATCTCTTCTAGAAACAGAAAAGAGTAAATCAAATCATCATCATAGAATCATAGAAGATTAGGGTTGGAAGAGACCTCAGGAGGTAATCTAGTCCAACCCCCTGCTCAAAGTAGGGCCAACCCCAACTAAATCATCCAAGCCAGGTATGTCAAGCCTTAAAAACCTCTAAGGATGGAGATTACACCACTTCCTCAGGTAACCCATTCCAGTGCTTCACCACCCTCCTAGTGAAATAGTGTTTCCTAATATCCAACCTAAACCTCCCCCACTGCAACTTGAGACCATTGTGCCTTGTTCTGTCATCTGCCACCACTGAGAACAGCCAAACTCCATCCTCTTCGGAACCCCCCTTCAGGTTGTTGAAGGCTGCTATCAAATCCATCCCCACTCTTCTCTTCTGCAGACTAAATAAGCCCAGTTCCCTCAGCCTCTCCTCGTAAGTCATGTGCCCCAGCCCCCTGATCATTTTAGTTGCCCTCTGCCAGACTCTCTCCAATTTGTCCATCCTTTCTGTAGTGGGGAGCCCAAAACTGGATGCAATACTCCAGATGTGGCCTCACCAGTGCCGAATAGAGGGGAATAATCACTTCCCTCAATCTGCTGGCAATGCTCCTACTAATACAGCCCAATATGCCATTAGCCTTCTTGGCAACAAGGGCACATTGTTGACTCATATCCAGCTTCTTGTCCACTGTAAACCCCAGGTCCTTTTCTGCAGAACTGCTGCTTAGCCAGTCAGTCCCCAGCCTGTAGCAGTGCATGGGATTCTTCCTTCCTAAGTGCAGAACTCTGCACTTGTCCTTGTTGAACCTCATCAAATTTCTTTTAGCCCATTCCTCCAATTTGTCTAGGTCACTCTGGACCCTATCCCTACCCTCCAGCTTGTTTACCTCTCCCCCGCAGCTTAGTGTCATCCGCAAACTGTATTGTATTCTATCCCATCAAGTTCTTTATAATTGGAATTCACTTGTGTATGAATACCAAAGAAATGATAAAAGGTCATAGTGTGTGCAAACTAATTCACTTGCTAGTATAGATCCAAAGGAAATACTAATGTTATTGTATCCACTTGTCTATTTCCTGTGCTTGCTATCCTTGTACTTAGTTAACCCTAAAACAATAACGTGTGTTAATTTTTAGATGTGAATTTACTTGATGTGTAAAACTACATGAAAACTAATGAAGATTTGTTTCTGGTTATCACATTGTCGTTACATTATGTTTACCCATTGGAGATTGGAGCCTTGGAAATGTAAATTAAAGGTTTTTTAACTTCAAAGCAAGGGCCATTAAGCAAAAATGGAAAATACACGAACTTTGTCTGTTTAGTCAACAGAGGGAGAGCCCATGCTGTGTTAAAAGCACTTTCCAGACTGTTTTCAACTACAAGAAGGAACTCTGGGATGAATTCTGCATCTCTGATCTATTTGGATGCTGTCAGGGGGCGTTCCAGATACAAGACAGAGGTCCCCAAAACTATTTTGGGAAACCATGAGAGACTTATGGGATCTAGCAGACATTACATCTCTGCTATCAATTGGATTTACGAACTCTGACACACCGGTTCTATATTTTACCTTCTTTAACCTCTCAATAACTCATTTATTTTTCTTTAGTTTGCTAAAGACCCTGGCTGTCAGCATTGTTTTTGGTACGAGATCCAGAGCATCCATTGACCTGGGGTGAGTGACTGACACTTTGGGGTTGGAAGAACCTAATGTGAGGTGAATTTTAGTTTTAATAACCTTTCATCACAAAGTCCAGTTTGTCTGAGTGACAAGATGCGATGGAGAGCCTAAGGGGCTTTTGTGTGGCTCCATGGTAAGGCTAATATAGTAATCCAGGAGTACACATTTGGTACTGGTTTGGTAAAATCTAATTATAGAATATACCACCAGTTTGGGGTATCTGTCCTGTTTTCTGACAGGCTGACCTGACTTAGGCACTCTTGGTTTTGAGCCACATCCTAGACACCATGACAAACATTATCCAGAATAACTGTCCTTGCGGGACTGCAAAAGCAACTACAACAATTTTTCCTTTATAGAGTGCAGTAGTGGATGACGGGCCCAATCCTGTAAGTCTTTAATCAGGCATATCTACTGCTAGAATTTTGTTTCAGTAAGGACTGAAAAAGGACTTTGAGGAATGGGCCTATTATCTGTAAAGGGTAAACAAATGAGAAGGAAACATCACAACCAATTAATGCAGTATATTCACTTCAACAATGTTGCTGTCACACAAATTCCTGGAGTAAAATTTTACTGTTATCTGCCAGTGTAAATCCAGAACTAACTCAACTGGAGTTCCAGATGTACACCAGGGTAACTTCAATATTCAATAAAGTTCTCTTGATTTACACTGGTGGGCAAACAAGAATAGTATTTCCCCGAGGCACTCTGCATTGTTATTCAGGGTTGAAATCACAACAGCTGACTTCAAGCAGTTAATTCTCTGGAGGCCATACAACTACTCTAGATACACAAACATAAGCTTTTTTATTATGCAAAACATTATTCTCAATGGGCCAAATTCAGATCTAGTATAAGTGACTATTCTTTAACTGGTTTCAATGGAGTTGGACCCACTTTTGTCATCAGTGACTTTGGCCCAATAATGCTATCTTTTAAAAGCCTTTTGATTTACTATCTTTGCTCAGGCTCTTCTGTTGAGACAGTTTTGTGTGTAAACCATTTAAAATAACTCAGGGAAACATTATGTTCACATTTTTGAAAGATAAAACCAGACTAACAACCTGTCCAGCCATTGGTGCTCCCTAATTCCAGAGACCACTGAGTACAGTTAATTGTATTAGCTTCAGGTTGTGGTAAATGCAGCTACTCAATTCCACCAATATTTCAGGTAATAGCACAGTCTCCAGGGGTTTCCTACTAGAACTCTCGTAATTTTTTTTTTGGTAAGATTTTGCTGATTGGAAGATGTGAACTCCCTTGGTACTTTGAGCCTGGAAGTACTGAGATCCCAGCGAATGAAACCTCAAACACATGAGGCTCTGTCAAAATGTCACTTAGCTAAGAGTATGGTATGTTTTTGTATATGATAAAAATCCACCCTCATACTTACCACTGTCTTCAATTCGCAGATGGAACCTATTAGCCACAGGGGCTATTGTGTAGGAAGTAACTGGGCTATAGCCATGGTCATAAGCCCACTTAATCAAATTCTCATGAGATGAGGGAATATCAGGTATTACTAATTTAGTCATAATCATAGATCGTTCCGTTTCTTTTCCAAAGCCAATACTGTTTGGTGCCTGCACATAAAACAGAAATAGGTTGGTTCGTGAATTGGCACTTGAAGCTTTTTCCAGTCATAGAAAAATGAATTGAAAAATGCGAAAGAATAACATTTATTGCATTTGGTTTTGTCAACATAGTTTACCCTTTCCTACTAAAAGTTCACAGGGACAAACATATGACCCTTAATATAACCATATAATTTTCAGACCATGAGTTGAGATTAGCCATAAATTGAGGTGAACCACAATAAGAGACCTGATTTTTTCAAATGTCCATCTTACCTCACTAATCACTACGGGGATGGTTGTCATTGTAATTATGTAAGCAAAATCTTCATTGTACCACTAGTCCGGTCTCCTGCACAGTATGGCAGCAATGAAAAAGGCACAGCCTACGACCCAATCCTTTATGGTACAGCTGCACATCATCTATTCCACCTTAGAAGCCAATGGGACTTGAGGACACAGAGACCCAGATCCTCAGAGGTATTTATGCACTAACTCCCATTGAAATCAGCTGGGCCTCAGTGTCTCACTAGAAGAGGCTCTTAGAAATTGATCCTCCGAAGTACCGAATACCTCCTGCAAAATGCTGAGCATCCTCAAATATCACTGTACATTTTTCAGTCACTGGAAATCTAGAGTACTCAGCATCTTTCAGGACTATAGCTAGCTATAAGACTTGTTTAAAAAATATATATAAGTACAATGTATATTCTCATAAATACAACTTGTGCATAACTTGATAAGCTACAATATGAAAAGAATGTACACAAATAAATTCATAGTGATATTACACAACAATTCTCAGCTGATTACAGATGTCAGTCATCTTTCATTTTATTATAAATAATTATGCTAAATTTCAAAATCTCTCATTTAAATCTGCAAGTCAAGGGGATAAAACAAGCATCTCTAGCTGTCACAGGGTCCATCATAAAATATTTGCTGTTATTCCACTTTAAATTTATTTTAAATATTTGGCATCTTGGGTTTAAACATATATTTGCACAAAGTTCAGTTCTGTAACAATCACATTAACTACAGACCAAGCTGAATGTAATAATAATGTCCCATAAAGAGGAAAATGGACCACTTTTTAACAACTGCTGCTATGTGCCTGCAGATCATACTATTTTCATGCTGCACAAGAAACACTTTCATTTCCATGCCTGATTATTTTCTCTATCATATATGCTGCATTTTTGCTAAAATCCCCATTTGTTTCCCATTTTGTTCACTGTCAACATGACCAAATCTTAATCCTTTCCCACTGTAGGGCTTTAAAAGATTTACAATGCTGATCTGTCTTTGCCAGCTTGCTGCAGGACAGTTGTCATATCTGCCTGCTGCTTCAGATCAAGGTTCAAAGAAATAAATTTCCTCTTAATGTGTCACCAACCAAGTTTTTGGACAAGGAGATATGAGTAGGTAGGTCTGTTGATAACACTAAAGGTCCAATCTGACATTCTTTATACACAACTTCCAGAAAAGTTAATGGGAATTCATTATCAGGCTCTTTAGACATAAAATTTTGATATCTACAGTTAAAAGATCATACTATAAGCGCAAAGTATAATGAGAAGCGAGCCAGGTGATCTGTAGCCACAAAGTTTTCTGCAGCATTATCAATATAGGAAAATCCCTCAAGGAGGAGGAAAAAACAAAACAAAAAGGAAACAAGGGACATCCCAATTTTAGTGTCTCCTCTTAATACCTTGGTTCAAGTAATCTTTTACTTTTCAGCAGATACTAATCTGGATACAGCTTCAAATACATTTCAAGTAAACATAGTTCTGACTGGCTGGAATGACTATACTGCCCCAAATTTGCTGTATTTTCCTTTCTGTCCTCACTTTTTTAATTTTGTTGTTAGGACAACACAGCCGAACAAATATTATTGTCATAACTGGCACTGGCCAATTTTAGGATTTGTTTGCACCTCTCCATTACACACTGAACCTGCACACCTTCACTCCTGTGCATAAACCCACCGAGACTAAGTGTAGTAACAAAGGTTGGCAGAATTGGGCAATTCATTTGTATGCCCTGTCAACATCCTGGTTCACACCTCGAGGACCCATATTCATAAACCATTGTGTTAGACCTAGAAAGCTATTTACATATTTTCCAGATGTTGTTGTGAAGATGTAACAGCAGTTTCCTCTGGTAGGTTCCAGAATTTTTTTCTCCTTTATACTTGGCAGGCACCCCAAAACAAATACACAAACACAGCTACCCCAAATGCAGTCTGAAATGGAGATCATTTCAGAACTTGGCATCATTTATTGTACTTGGTTATTTTTTCTTATCCAAAGCACAGTCCTAACATTTCTCCAAGCATTTAAATCATTTGGTTTTTACCCTACAAGAATTTCCCCCATTCCCACTTGCACTTATATATGCTAAAATGAACGGGAGATAATAGAACTTGGCAGTACATTGTATTTTCCTCACCCACAGCACAACCTATAGTTTTGCAAAACTTGGTATGCTTGAATGGAGTGGTTAGAATGCCAGGCATTCCAAGTGGTGTTCTAAATGCGAGACAAAAAATAATTTGCATTAATCTACCCAGGTACAATACCAATTCAAATACGTAATGCTGTACAAAATGGGCCAAATTCAGCCATGGTGTTTGTGGAACTGTGCCCACTTACCTCAGGCTGAATTTGGACCATTGTACACTATAATTTTGTAATTCCTTTTTTCATACGAAATACATTACTGGTTTGTAGTATTTAATCAAAAATCTCATGAGCATAGCAAGACGTGGGATGGACTAGATGACCTAATTGGTCTTTCCATCTCTAATGTCTATGAGTCTGGACCTTAAACTCCCTTCCCTGGTTTAGAGGCAGCTTAGTATTCACCTTTCACTGTTTGCCAATACTTTCTCCCAGGACAATTGTGATTTGTGCTGAGGGCAAGAAGTTAGGAAAATTCAAAAGTGTGGAACTGATTCAGCTAGTAAAAAAAGAACATAATGAAACATTACCTAATTGTTTTGTAATGTTTTTATGCAATATCCAAAATTGGGCTTGGAAAGAACTTCATCTGAATAGAGGAATAAACACAGCCCAATTCTTGGATGAGCACTGTAATGTACAGTCTTCTTGAATGATATGGGGACATTCAGTTCTTTCCCCCCATAATTACTGTAGGCCAAGGATGTATATTCAGAAAGGGATGCATTTTGAATGACACAATGGAGGAAATATTTGCCCAAGAACTTTAGCATGGAAATAAAAATGATCTGATGTCCTAATGTTTCAAAATGTAATATTGTTTCCTGTTTTTGTTATGCTAAATGAGAAACATTACATTGTGTCATCCACTTAGCCAGGATAGACATGGATGTTGTCCCTAGCTCTGTTTGCCAGAAGCTGGGAATGAGCAACATGGGATGAATCACTTGATGATTACCTGTGCTGTTCATTCCCTCTGGGGCACCTGGCATTGGCCAATGTCGGAAGACAGGATACTGGGCTAGATGGACCTTTGGTCTGACCCAGTATGGCCGTTCTTATGTTCTTATGAAATAATACATTCTATCTTTTCTATTGAATATGTAATTGAACTATAAAAAGGGACCATTTTAATAAAAATCAATAATCTTGCTTTGTGCTCTTAACACCTAATAAACATTTGAGACATTTTACCGTCCTTTAGGATTTCATATCACAGCAAATACATAAGCCACAAATGGCAATTTTTTCAGGTAGCTACATGCACATGCAATTTAGGTTCTAGCTGCCTATGAGCATGCAGTGGATTTGCTCTCAATTCTACAGCATGCGAAAATACTCCTTCAAAAAGGCATCATCCCAGTTTATGCCTAAAACATTCAGTAGCAAATTCTATGCAGTAATCCTGAATGAGAATTTAAACTTTTTTGGGGGGGGGTGTCCCTGTGTTTACAGATGTGATAAGCTCAGTAAACTAAGCTTGGGCTTTCCCTTACTGCACATGACTACCCAGGGCACACTTTACCCTTCCACACACTGGCATGGGAGGGGGATTTTGAGATGTCACAAAGGATAACTTTTCCTTCCATAGCCTGAGCATCCCTCCTGTTTTCCCTTTACTCCCCTTACCCTCAAGACCCTGCACCCTGCCTACAATCCTCCCAGGAGATCTAGATTCAGCTCTCTCCAGGGCCTCTAGTACTGCTCCCAAATCAGCAAGAGAGGAGAGCTGCCAAGCAAAGTGATGTTCTTATAAATGCACTACAGCTCACAGAGTGTCCTGCAGTTAGCGTGCAGCACTTAACCATTAGGACATAGGTCTGGCTCCCAACAAAGATATCTTTTATTTAGCTTATTAAGCTAAACAGACAGCATGCAACATAACTAATCAAACATGACAGATATGGGCCACACTGTTTATATGGTCAAGATCAATCTATTTTTCCCTAGGGAAAGCTCATTAATATGTTCTCAACAGATATGGTGCTGAGCCATAGAATATGCATCAGGTGTCTTTCTGAAATGGAACTTCCAGCTATGCCTAAATATGTATTTATGAGTCTAACTTCAGGTTTGAAAATGTTTGAAACCTTGTATTTGCAGCCAGAGCAAAGGTGAGGGCAGTCTGACCAACCACTATATGTGGGTAGAAATGAAGTCCCACTATAAGCAGAACTAACCAGTTCCCACTTCTGTAGGAGATGTGGGTGTGTTACTTGTAGTTAATGATTATGCATTCTGCCCTTGCAGGCATCTTGCCAACTTCTGAGATGAACTTATGAATTCATTCACTGAGGTACTGGCACATGAGAAGTGAATATTTTTTTCCAACGTGTAAGGAATCTGCATACATCTCATGGGTGTCAGATAAGTGGGAGGGATTTACGTTCTATTTAGCAGCACCATCCACTCCTGGCCCAAATGTCACCAGCTGCCAGAAGAGTTCTTCTGTGTATGTGTTCCTCTGTATATATGTAGAGACTTCTGAATGCTACTTTGTGAAAAGTGCTAATAACCCAGGGATGTTAGCTAAGAGGGAGAAGACATTGTACTCTAACTCATTCACATAACATATTAGCTATTAACAGCATTTTGCTTCTTGAAAAATTAAAAAAATGCATTAACTTACAATCACTTCCAGTTTTCCCTGAACATCATGTGACTTGATAACCCAATTGACAGACTTTTTACACTTGAGGATAAGTATGAGGTCCCTGACAAGCATGACGTCTGGTTGAGATGGTCTAATGTCAATGATTATATCCACCTGGAAAGCACTGTATGTGGAAAATAAAGGCAAAGTAAGACCAGAATGCCAGAAATTTTCAGCTATCAAACTTCTTCCAGTCCATCATGATTCCAGTGTCTGGCCAGCTGATTAAAATCCTGGAGATCATCCCAGGCAACACAACATGTGCAAAACAGATTGTTACTTCACACACACTAAAATGATTTTACATAACAGAATCAAGTGCTTTTTCAGACTAATAATTATTGTTCAATATTTTATCTCTTATTTACAAACAGTTTTTGTTACTTGTTCCAGCTGTTATTTAAGGTAGATTAAACTGAACCACTAGTAGTTTGCTTTATACAATATTTTTTTCCTCATTTCAACAAAACAACTCTTAAATATACAGTTATTTCAGTTTTCCATGGGTATAGATATATTAAAGATCAAAAGATCACCCCATCGTACCAAAAACCAAAATAAACTAGGCAGGTTCAGCAACACAAAAAAGTACAAATAATGTGTTTTAGTAATATATCTGCTCTTAAAATTTTGCATGCGTCGTAGAATTATTATACTATCGTGTTTAGTTTCCAATACTTCTGGATATATAGTTATTTAAAAAAAAAAAAAAAAAAACACAGACATCCAACCTACTGATTGCTGGAAAATTGAGGAATACAATCCAGATTTTTAACAGCACAGTAAAATAAGTAGAGCAAGTGGATTTTACCCAGCAATAACATTTCCTCATGCAGAATATAAATTCAACAGAAAATCTTCATTTCCATCATGATTTTACCAAGTCGTAGACCATAAAAGTATGCTTGTTGCCAATTAATGGGCCTCAACTAAACTTTGCATTTTGATTTAATATCTCAGGGCCTTTGTCTTATCTCCTGTAGTTATGCACATGTCCCTCTTAGTTCCTGTTGGTTTCAACATGGGCAGCATCTGGGCATATAACAGGATTGAGGCAGGTACTGAATTAGTACACTTCTTTTTTAATCCTAAATTTTACTAGTACATTTAAACTAAGAAACATTTGCAGTTTAAACATTTGAAAAGTAAACTCCCATTATGCACTTTCAGTCAAAACCAAGACCCAGAGCTCCACCCAAGCAGAAGGCTGTAAGTGGGTATCTCCACAGGAGACCAGTGGTGGCAGTGATGAAAAGGAACTGCTCCATAGAAGCTATGCTTCACCACAATGGCTGAAGTAGCCCTTTACTGTCCCAGCTCATGCCATGCAGCAGCAAATCCATGGGCCCTACTCTGCCCTGCTTCTGTCATGACCCCATCCTCCCTCAAACTCCCAGGCACTGCTATTTAAGGAACTCCTGCAGAGCTGGGTTCAGCAACATGCTGGGTGTGTGCATCCCCTGTGTAGCCCTCTCCCAACCAAACTCCTTTGTATAATTGAGGTGTACCAATTCCACTGCCAAGGAGCTGGATTTGCTCTTAATGAAATTATGACAAAATTGGGTAACTCGGAGAGATCTGCCTGGTCTCTTTGGTAAGCAGACATTAGTCTCTTTCCATTATCTTTGAGGAATACACACTTCTACTGGTGCCTGTGGAAAAGCTGCACTGCTATGCTGACAGTGAAATACAGATTTTATGTACAATAACAATACTTAGCACCTATATAGGACTCTACAGGTGGGATTTTCAAAAATGCTCCACATTGGCCTAACTCTGCTTCCATTGAAATCAAGCAGAGATTTACCATTGACTCCACTGAGACCAGTTAGGCTACAAGTTAGTACTCTTTCAAAAAAAAACCAAAAAACCCCCACAACCCGCACCCCAAAACTTTCCCTACATCTTCATGGCATTTTAGCTAAGCTTAATACCCTTGACAGCAATACTGTGAGGAAAACTGAGTCACAGAGATTAAATGATTTGGCAAGTGATTGATAGTAACGAGATTACAATTTGGGAGTGCTCGCTACCAGATGATGCTCACTTCTTTGTGCCAGCTGGCTCCTCTTGAACACTTCAGGCCAGACTCTGCCACCCTTACTCTGTGAGTAGTCCCACAACTTGAATAGGAGTTCTGCCTGCAGAACAATGGCAGTATATGGCCCACGGGAACTACACTTTACTTTTACAGTCCAAACAGGAAAATGAATATATCATTTTGAGGCAATCCAGGGTCCTGCTCCAATATCCTTCTTGTACTAAATATCTCAGATTTCTACCTAATTTAAAGCAGAACAGGTCTGATTCTTCACCTCTTTCTTATAATGACCAAGAAGTCCCATTGATTTCATTTTTGACAGATACTAGGATTTTTACTGTAGTTATCTAATCCTCACAAGTTTACTTTATAACTTAATTTGTGGACACTTTACCTGTAGGGATTGGAGTTTGGAGTGATTAATTCAATTATATGAACCTCTCTTTCTTGGTCTGTGGCAGACATAAGGCACCCATCCGCTGTCTTTGGTTGTAGATATCCCGCAAGGTAATTCAGAGAGAGGAAATTCTTTTCTATGTTGCATGTGGGAGGAAAAACTTGATCTGGGGAAAAAAAGTATACACATATGCCCTGAAATATATATATACCCGACCCAACACACACACACCACTTAAATGCAACACTTCCTTGTAATCCTGATATAAGTATACTTACTTACGTAAGTATGGATGATACACCAACAATCTTGAAAAAAATGGTGTTACTGTTCTAACAATATAGGACATCTCTGAAGCAAAAGCTATAAATAATTTATAATTGATAGTTTCCATTTACAACACACAGACATCTGAAAACAGGTGTAGTAAATTACAGGTGTAGTAAAGGTGATAGCTGAAAAACTTTCTTCAGAATGAATAAAAGTACAGTTAATCTGGTGCACTGTGTTTAAAAAAATATTTCTTCTGAATGTAATTCACAAAAAATATTTAAAAGGGATACCCTTCAACTAGGGTGACCAGATGTCCCGATTTTATAGGGACAGTCCTGATATTCAGGGCTTTTTCTTATATAGGCGCCTATTACCCTCCTCCCCCATCCCGATTTTTCACATATGCTATCTGGTCACCCTACTTTCAACATAAAAGCTAGACTTCCTTCCTTCTGAATTTTTTTTAGTCATTAGTCATAACATCCAAGGTTAATATAAGTGAAAGAGATCAGATATTTTCTCTCTCTATTTTCAGTTTTCTTACTTTGTGTGTTTGACCATACTTTGTATATAGTCAGTTTAATTGTTGATTATACTGATATACCCATTTCCCTTGTTTGTATACCTTTCATACAGCAAGAGGGAAAACTGATTATAAAGTCACAACAGATAGGTTCAACGGCAAATGTGGTACCTGAAACTACTATACTTCATTTTATTTTTCTTTAATACTGCTGAGATTTCATGTTGATAGTGGCCCTTTGAGTCTGTGATGCAAAACAACAGAAGCAATAGTTTTTGGGGCCAGATTTTTAAATAGGGCCTGTAAAATTGCATTCAAAATACCAGTATTTCCATAATAATACTTTGCATTTCTGTAGGGCCTTCCATCCAAGGAATTGAAAGTGCTTTTACATAAGAATTAATCTTCACAGTATGCTGTGAAGCAGTTATCCTCATTTTACCGATGGAGACACTGTGGCACAGAGGTTTTAAGTGACATGTCCAAGGTCATACAAGAAGTCAGTGGCAAGGACAGGAATAAAACCCCAAACTCCTATCTATCCCTTTGCTCTAACCACAAGATTATCCTTCCAAAAATCAGTAGCATGATGAACAGCTACTTAGTTTTCATGAGCAAACTCAGGATATGGTACAGTCAAAATTGCACAACAGACTTAGAAACTGAGCTAAGACCACTTGTAACATTTGGTTCTCTACGTTATGGCTGACACATCATCCTTCAAGTGACTTCTAGTTTGGTACATAACTTCATATAGAGACTCCTGCAATCCCTAGGCATAGTGCAACCAGCTAAGATGGCTCCTTTTCCCAACCCTGCACAAAACGGTCTTTGAATACTCACTTTGCTTCCTCCTCTAGAAAATCTTTCTATCAAAACTATATGAGACTACAATTATGCAAGCTGCCCAAAAGAGCACTCCCCTAACATCTGTTATGTGCCCGGCCAGATGATGAGCTCTGAATGCAGCTGCAATTCTGCCAACTCCTCCCACGTAGCAGCGGATGGAAAATGATCTGTACTGAACTCAAATAAATGATATTTAACCCTCAGCAGCAGCACTGTAATACATTTCATGCCATAAAATAATTGCCTCTCAGTAGGTCATGGATGATCACCACATGCTTTATATCATTAGCCACCGCAAAGAGCTTGATTCCTGTTCCTGGCATCTTCATTAAGTGTTTCTAGAATTTTCAATCAATCAGTCTGTTTCTCCGGCTGCCACTGGTACTGAGACTCCTCACACTGGGCCTCTTCTCGATAGTATACGCTCCCTCTGCTCTTCATTTTAACTCTCTCTCACTGGCTATTTGACGTATACGTGTAGTTTTTTTTTTCCTCCTCATAAAAACTGTTTACTCTTGCCACTGCTAATTTCCAAGACACTGATTGTAACAGAAGATAAAAGGAACCCCATTCTGTCTGCCCTTGGTCATTACTTTCTAGTTGTTTGAGAGGGGGAGTTTAAGGTTTTAATGATCTATTTAATTGGTGTTTAAAAAATGATTTATGGAGTGGTTGGTTTACGGCCTCTCCACCTTCCTGTAATCTCCAGACAATAATACTATGGAATTTGCTGTAAAATATGCATGGAAGAATACATGATAGGGTATCTGGTCAGAATATACAGATGCCTTGAAACCAATTTGCCGAAGTGTACCCACTGGAGTTCTGCAATGTAGCTGGCAGATGCTTCATCTTCAGAGCCTGCCAGATTGCTTGGATTAAGGTGGAATATTGTACATCGGGACCTGTAGTTCTGTGGGCAGCACTTCCATTTTAAAGATAAGGGAGGCTGCATTCTGCTACATTCTGTATGAACTGGGTGTTACCCTTGGGTTCTTGGCCAATGTGACCTTAAATTGGACACAATTTAGTGCTCCTCACTTAAGAGCATTAGGAACCATTACTTGTATCACCTTTCCATGATAAACCACTGTTTAGAATTCAGCTGTAAAAATTCCGTCCAACTGGAACTCGCCTTTCAAAGTCTAAGTCTGGTATAAGGGAGAGGTTTGGGATTTCAGCCCAGGAGTAAGCAGAGGAATCTCTCTGTCACTCATGTTGGTGGTCTAACTCATTTCTTTGCACACTGCTATTCCAGAATGTTGAAGAGAGCACAGAAGTCTCAGCTTTAAAATGGTACCAAGGAGAATTTAAAACTACTGTGGAGATTTTGTTCCCCAGCAGGGAGGAGTTTGGAGGGCTCCTCAAAAGGTGGGGTGAGAAAGGGGCAGGCCAGGGAGAAGAGAGGTGAATGTGATTTCAAGCAGTAACCCCAAAACTATTAAAACGATTCAGTACAAAATTCTGTAGATTAATTAGCAAAAGCTTGAATATTAACTCCGTGAAATATATAAAGCAGTAATCCTGCAAACCATGTGGTATAGCACCACTTTATACCCACCACACCTATCACTGACAAAGAAATTAACTACAGGGCAGGTACCCAAATATTTATGGAGCTTATACTCACAGGATTTCTGAACTAAACAACAAAGCCATCAACTGTAGTAAATGGTTGGAGGAACAATTAGTATCTACAGTAATAACAAATAGCCTGTTGCATGCTAACTGATGCTAACGAAACTTGGGCCCCGTCCTACATAGACATTTCAGCACCTGTACCAGCAATGTCTGATTACATTTTATCCCATAAGCATTTTGTACAGTCTGTGTCCTAAAACATACATGTTTTGTCATAATAGGTTATCCTAACTTTTGCAGGACAAAGAATTGCTGTCATCAAATCTGTATCAATAACATCCTTTTAAATATCATTAAAGGGATTTCTCCTTGTGTGTGCCTGGCTGAGGTCTTGTATTGAGAATAGTTCCACTGACAGGTCCCTCAAACAGAATCCAGTCTCACTCTCTGAACTCCGATAATAGTGATCAGACTGTTCTCCACTTCAGTTCTTTTCGGAGTCCCTCTTCATTTTACATAGTAACATCGTTTCACATATATTTCCTTGGCCCAGGATTTCAGTGCAGTCTGTCTAATGTTCTGATTATGCCCATCCATCTGATCTCTAATCAGCCAGTTCCATTATATCCTTGAGGTATGGCATCCCCATGATTTGTATGCTCCTAGCCCTGACCTGGTTTGCTAGATTTCCACTTCCCTTCAGCAGCCATTCCTTGCTTCACCACTGTTTTCTTAGAACAGCAAAGTTAGAAGTGATTTTGTCCTTGGAAAGAGCTTTCTTCTTCAGGTGCCAGTCTCTCCCCCCTCCCCACCCCGCCCATGAACTGAATTTTCTGTTCAAGTTTATTCACAGTTAGGGCCTGAGCCTCGAAAGAGCTGAGCTCTTCCTGGACCAGATTCTGCCTCCTTTACTCATGTTGAGTAGTACCATGCTATGTGAAGTCCTTTTGAAATCAGGTACTACCCAACACAAGTATAGGTGACACAATCAGGTGCCCTAATTCATGCCAAGCACAATTGACTCTCACTGGAGCCAGTGGAAGTGGAGGGTGCTTAGCACTTTACAGGAGCCAATCATCAGCTTGCAGGCTGTGCTCTGGGCAGCCTAACCTTTGTTTCAAAAGCCTGACACCTCTCATTCAGTGTATGTTGCATTTTGGCCAATTCAGTATTTTGTTTCTCAGCAATTCCCTTATTAAACTTGCAAGGAGGGATCCTGCAAAGAGATACTGTGTGCAATCTTCTTGCCATTTGACTGCTGTGGTACATACTCTGAAGGAATCTGATTTTTCTCTCTTCTGCCCATTTGAGGACTCAAGTCTCAACTTGCCAGGAGTTAAAAGACGTTTGAATCTAAAACCCAAATAGGGGTTACAGTTCAACTTGTTTGTAGAAACTCCTTGAAAAAGTGTCGATCTTGGTTGCTTGCCAAGCCCCATCTCATGTGGTTATTCCTAGTTGAATTGTGGTGTTCAACATTTTTGTAGCTGTAGCAAGCTTCTTATATATTTAACTGCTTATCTGATTGGAGACTTGCAGATCAGCCTACAAAATTCAGTCCGATTTTTGAAGTATCTAATTAATCGTTCATCTCTACAGCATACAGACAACTACCACTAACGTACATATGTTCCAAGAACAGCAATGAAGGCAGTTCAGTTTAATAAACTAATAAATATATTTCTGAATGACCCTCTGGCATTAAAGTCTTAGACTGGTGCCAAGTAGAAAAGAAATCAAACAGGGGAATCCCTGCAGAAATTTGGCAGGTTTTGGATAAAACCAACAGGCATGTTCTGATTTGCGGGGGCAAGACTCATGCTTCAGGAAATAAAGTGATCACATGCAGGCGCTTGGGAAAGCATGTTTTCTCCACATAGTCTTGTGTAACTGGCTAGGTGAATAACGCAGCAGTTTCGTCTTCTCCAGCATTACTGCAGGAGCACTGCTGAATTAGGCAGCCCACTGGTTCTGGTAAATGCTATATTTCTAATACTTGCTGGAGTTCGCTAAAATTTCCCACTGATTTCTACTGTTCCCAGTCATAGTACCGTAAGGAGCCTCATATTGCTGGATAATATTCTGTGCCAGTTTTACAATACCTGGGCACTAACAGTTGTGCTGAAGCCTTCACTTTGAATCTCTGGACTGTGCTCAGTCTGTATCTCAATATTATTTACACTGTGTTTTGGTACCAACATTGTTTTGATCTACAACTCTGATTATGCCTTCAGAGCACTAAATAAAGAGAGAGTTGCAGCAAGTTAGTGAATGACTCTTGACTTTTTCTGATGCCAAATATGCATGCAGAATACACTGGAACCCCTCCACCTATCCTCCAGGCCTGCATGAAAATTGTCCCTCCCTGGAAAGCTGCACTCAGTAACTCCCCACCCTCTTTGTGAAGATGTAGGGCATTATGGCCAGACAGCACAAAAAGGCTTTCAACTGCCTTTGTAAGTGGTGAGAATTTCCTGATGGGCTAACTGAATGGGTACATGCAGTAAGTATGCTGCAGGTCAGCACCATACAGCAACTCTCCTGAACTGACTAACTCTCAGAGTGCATCAGAAAAAAGGCAGCTGGAGAAAAGAGTTCACATTCTTTTAATTCAGGCTGAATCCTTGAGGCTACAAAGTACACGTGTCCAAGTTGGGGGCCACTTATCTTTCAAAATGGTAGAAGGGAACAATTCTTTGTGCAAAGCACTCTAGTCCCTGTCCATTTCTTGGATTAAAACAATAAACAGAGAAAAAGCTCAGTGACTTTCTGGCTAGCAAAAATAAATCCCACTCAGCCTCAGTTTCTGAGGATCAATCCTTTCAATGAAGAGTACAGGCTACCTGATTAGTCAGCACGATTCATTTACCCTTTTAGAAAATGCGACTTCTTAAATATTTGACTCCTCTAATGGATTCTGGGCAAAATTTCCAAACTTGGCTGCCTAAAATAAGGCATCAGAATCCCTACATAGGAACCTAACTCCATGGCCTGATATTCAGACTTGTTGTTCCCCTCCCCCCACAAGCCCCTTAACCATGTCTCCATTCTAAAATATTGAGCATTATATTTCATTATTAAGACACAGAACGTAAAATACAAACTATAATGCGCCGCATTCTCACCATCCTGCTATAATGCCCTCCCTGTTCTGTTTAAAAAATATCCTTACCTTCTCCCACTTTGATGTAAATGTTTCTCGATATTTTGAGTTCAGTGAAAGACGTGACTGCTCGATATTCCTTTTGGGCCCACTGTAACAGATGTTCATTTCCCTGAGGGAAAGGCTTTTCCTTGGTTTCTGTTGCCAAGGAGAAATTTCCCTTCTCAAATTGAACAATGGAACCTGGAGATACCTGATGGGAACAAAAATGTATTTTTAATATGACACATTTACCTAGTACAGAAGTATAATTTTTTTTAAAAAGCCATTTAATCTGTCACACAGAAATCTGTTCATTGCAAGTGATGAAGTGACATGTGCCACCACTGCTCTTAACTTAAACTTTGCATGTTTTAAAATCTGCTTAACAGACAATTTTTAAAAACTGTTTAGACACCATGTAATCATTTTAAATATCACATGATCAGAAAGAACACAAGGTCATGCTTGTCCAGGTTAGCCGAAGATAATGGCTGAAAGCCTCACCAGATGAGAACACCTTATTTTATTAAAGAAAAACTCATTTTGTTGCTTTCTTGACAGGAGCATGTGTCTGGAGGCTTGAAATGTCTGGTCCAAAATGTAAGAGGAATCATACACCTTTAGAAAAGAGCTTACAAATACACTACACTATCTGAGGCCCTGATGGGCAACCTAACATCTCACTCATAACCACTTTAAAAATAATGAAAACTGAGGAATAGTGCATGTCACTATAATGAGGATATGTGCAAAAGACTTGGGATATTCAAATATGTCGGCTGCAGAAACAGAACAGAGTGAAATGAAGAATGAGAGCCAAATAATTCTTAGTCGTGTCATGGTAAGGCCAAGCAACCCCAAGGACTTTGGTGGAGTAGCAATGGAGTCAATCTGGAGCAGGTGAGATCAGAGGGCCAGATTCTCCCCTACACTGGGCTGCTTTCTGCCATACTGGTGGTGAAAAGCAGCCCTAAATCCAGCATTACAGCCCAAGGAAGATCATCCCAGTCCAGGGGGATCATCTGGTGGCACAGAAGGCTGTCATATTGATCCTTTGGGGCTGGCCACTGGCAGCTAGTGTAATTTAGAGCATCTGTAGGTGGTTCTAATGTACATGTTTGGACTGGATCAGCGCACAGCTGGCTCAGGATTCGAGGAGCTCAAACAGCTAAAAGTCATCAATCCTAGACTGTATTTTGTGCTCGTTCAATGTGACTGATGATTGGGGCCTGATATCTGCTCCACGTGGTCTAGCAATGTTGGTCCTTCAAGTCCTGGTTTCAGCAGAGTCTATCCAGTCAAGTCTAATGAGAACAAGAAAGGGGGTGAGGGGGAATACAGGAAGATTGATAACTTTTCTTTCATGTTGTGATATCTCAGTTCAAAAAGGATTACAGCCTAGGAAATTTCCTTCTGTGGGAAAGCAGGAAACTCTCTGATGCTGGAGCAGAGCAAAGCAATGATAAGGGGAAAGAGAGAGATTTAAGATTTCTTCAGACTGTATATTTTCCATAGCAGTATAAAAAATGTTTGCAAGGATATACTACTCAAGTCTTGTTATACCCTAGATAATTAAATCAACAGGCCATTGGTCCAAATAATCTGTTCTGAATGAAAACACTTTGCTGAATTAATCCCAGAAGACCTAGACATGTCTTATAACAACACTGGATGTATGGCTATGCATAAAGCTGAGCTGCAATTACATTTAAACAAAGATTTAGATGGTGGCAGTATGATCAAGCCCCAGCCCGGGAGGGAGATGGTGACTCCAGAAGTCTCCTCACTGCTTTGAAGGAGTAAATTGCAACAGGTCTACCACAGTCTATCACACACTCTAGTGCTGCAGAGAGTGTTGGTGGGGATAGGAGGTGTAGAGTCTTGACTCCGCCCCCTGCCCATCCACCATGCATGATTGGGGGAGGGGTAATGTAGCTGCTGTGCAAAGCTGGAAGTGGCAGTATGATGTACCAGTGCAAGGGAGAAAGGGGGTGCACTTTTCTGGCTTACACAAGCAAACAAAACAGGCCACACTCTTGCACCAAGAGAACAGATATTTGATCATTCATATTGCTGCAACATGAACATCTTTTTACTGCATTTCATCCTGCACTCTTCTTTTGATGGAATGTACACGCAGTCTGGTTTTGAATTGCAAGTCTAATGAGACTTCAAGCATTATAATCAGAGCAATGAATAAACATCATAATCTCTAACCTATCCTGCGCATTATTTATACACATGCTTCTTCAGAATAATAGCCATTTACATCTGTCTAGATTATAAACAGCAAAATACATCAACAATGAGTTCATCCAAGGGAATAAACTAAAGTCGGTTATTTTTACAACATTAAGCATCCATCATTGCAAACCAACAGCAACTCGTTATTAACTTTACTGGAGCTATTGTTAAAAGTACTAGTTTGGGACATTGTAAACCAACCTGCTTAGAAAATACAAATGCCCATCAAAGCTGAGAAACAGCTTGTATGTTCTAGCATGTTAAACTCTTCTAAAGTTCTTTCCTACATCCACTGATATTTGTTAGTATTATCAATCATTTTTTGCGAGGACACACTGCACAGATCACATAAACTTCTCTTTTTTGAAGAGAGAAGACCCTTGTACTTCAAAGTTCATTTTGACCAGACCTGTCACAGAAAACAGCTTAGGAATCCTTTATCCCTCTGCCAGAATAGTTTTAAAGTTTAGACTAACATCTGTTTCAACTCTGGATGATCTTTATTTGTTGCTGTTCATATGATTATCATAAAATATTTTCATAAAAAGATTATATTCAGCACAACATAAGATACACGAGTTTAGCACATTTCTGAAGCAAGAAAGTAAACTCTGCATACCATAGGAAAAAAACAGTGAGGGACCAAAACACTCTGTCTAAAATGTATTTGACAATTATGGCTTGATTTTCAGAGATGTTGAGCACCTGTATGTCCCCATTAAAGTCTGTCTACAGTAGGATAACCCCCATTCTATGGTTTTGGGAAAAGGCAGCAACAAGTAGACATATCCTAAATAGAAAAGTACAATTTGTTTAAAGAATCAATCATTTTATAATGCAGATTTTGAAATCCACCTTAAATTGGGGCCAAACCCATTTCTGGAGAAATTCCAGTGTCTGATATACAACTACACTATAGATTAATTTGACCCAACGCATCTCTAATGTATGTTCACATTGCATATTAAGGTGTAATACAAGGTGCCTTACAAGTTTTAATCTAGTTAGCACCGGTAACAATAGTAGTGATGACATGGTGGCACAGGTTTAGTGTGGACTAACAATCCAAATACATGCCTGCTGGGCCACAAACATTGCTGGAGCTGGGCCCCCAGACCCTGAATATTGCTGGAGCCTGGGCACCACGGGCCCATATAACTTGCTGCCCCTGCCATGTCTAACTGCATAGGTTTCCTCCTCAGAATTCATTTGATTTTCTATTTGTTTGCTAATTGAAACTTGAAAACGCTCTGAACATTCTTTGGCATGACAAATGTCTTCCTGTGGGAATGAAGCTGACAATAAGATCTAAAGATCCTGCCTCTTAGTAGGAACAAACTGAAGGACAGAAGGCAAAACAACTAGCAAATGTAAGGGTATATTATAGAGTGGAGATGTTAGATAGCTAATCAAACATCTTTAAATACACATTAAGCTCTCCGTTCACTTTTTAAAAAATCATGCACAAAAGTTTGCATATGAAATTTTGGTCCCACTACCAGATTTGAAAAAGAAAAGCAGAACTCTGCTTTGTCTGCCAGTGCTGGGATTTTTACTACAAGGACTTAAGGCTAGGTTAAGTGAGCCAACCACATTATTTTTTTTGGACTGGGTTCAACAAACTCTTCCAAAAGAAAGAAAGAAGAAAAAAAAAAGCAACCATCACTTTGTTTCAACACCTGCCTTTGTACATTAACTACTTACCCTATAGAACCAATCTCTCTGAAAGCAGCCTTACTCCTTAAAGCACCCAGGACACGCAGGTGCACTGAAATTAAAAGTACCTCATTTAATTAAAGATATTTATAGCATTTATCTGAGCGCTACACAGTTCAATTGGTTGGCTAGCAACACACCGTGTCAGGCATGCTATTGTCTTCTCACTCCATCTCCTTATTTACTTGGTGGCTTCATAGTCATAGGGTGGAAAAAGTATTCCCGCACACTCTCTCTTGCTGTTGCTTTTGATATGGTGATTTCTAATGCCCTCAGTACTGCTGCCACCTTTTCTTCTCCTGTTGAATGCACTGAACATTCTCAGGTGATGGAGTGAAGGGGAATTTCTCAAACTTGACACACTAAGTCTGGAAAAACAGTATGCAGGCCCAAAAGATACTGATGAGGAAGGTTACTAGTCAGAGAAAAGAAAGTGTTTCTAAGGGCTATTCTGCATTTCAAGTAAATGAGAAGGGCAGCTGCATCCTTTTCTCCATGCAATATTCTCATTCTCTCTCCCCTCCTCCCCCCAAATATCCATTCTTGGGGTTTGGAGAGAATTTCTACAGAAAACAAAAACTATTTAGGAAAAGATATTGTCTTACTGCACACTCCTATCCAGCAGCAGCATATTGGTCACAGAGGGGAACTCACACTGCAACAGGGATTTCCTTTCATTGTCCAGAGACAAAAAAAACATGTCCTTGATCCTAAAGAAGATCCTGTATATGTCTCTTAAGAGAGCTATGCAGACTTATAGAAAATGTGTCCTTGTAATGCTGCCAAGGTCCTTTTGTGCTTGACTTATCTTATGAGTGAGTGCTTATTATGCAAGTAATAGCGCCTCAGGGGCAACATTAACTTGAATACCCCATTTTAAACAATTTCATAAATATTCCATTGGTGAATGGGAACAGTTTACACATTCAAGATGGTTCCTTCTGCCCCCACAGGTTAGTTATCTTAGTGGGAGATTATCTATATTAATCATATGTAGCTAGCCATGCATGTCACATTAATTTATCTGAATGGGTAACAATATTCTAAACTGACGTCATGTTTAAATTACACAACTGAATGCACATAAAGATCAACAAACTAAATAAGCCAGTTGAAGGCTTCTGACAAAGTCTACTAGAATTTTTCTAGGAATCTGTTTCTATTTAGTAGGAAGAAAAGAAGGAGAGAATTAAGATACAGACATGTAAGTCATTACAGCTGCCTGGTTTCCATTGGAATCGATGACTAACA